GGTTTTTACGAAGTTTCATATTTCCACAAAAATCATTTTTGTAACTAGTATTGATAAAAGTTAAACATCCTATTTATGTCACACCGTTTACGGTTGAATTAACTTGGATATTCATGATATATCATGTTTGTTTATAATATTGCTTTATATAAGTGTTACATAGGTCTTTAAAAAAATTACGTGAACAACTTAAAACTTTTATATAAAACTTATCTAAATTTTAAAAATAAATAAATTCACAAACTAAATCAACTAAAATTTAACTAGCATTTGTTGAGCACTTTAAGTTGAATATGTTTTGATGATTCATTATGAAATCTTTAAATCTCTCTTTTGATTGCAAAAATTTTGGCTTTTAATTCACATAATGAAATATCAATCATGAACAATATATATTAGAGAAAATAAATTTAAAAAAAGAGTCATTTTTTATACTTAATACTGCCAACAAAAATTCAAAAAATGTTGTTAAAAATATTTTTTGGATTCTTCACTATATTCATTGATAAATCTCACATTATAAATCATTTAAGATATCTTTGAAATATTATAAGATTTTTGTCTTTTTTATCGAAAAGACAAAATTTGACATGATTTATAATGCCTATAATTATCCAAATCAAAATTATCACAATCATATGATTTTAATATTTAAAATTATTTTATCTCACTGATTCTTCAAATTCAAATGTTTATAAGATTTTGTTTTTTAAAAAATAAAAAATCAAGTCAAAAAAAATAATATATAGTTTCAATTTTTTGGCATTAGTTCATAAATTTTATATTTGAAATGAATTAAGGTATAAAAATAATATATTAGGTATCAAAATCATTCTACTTGAAAAATAAATATGCCTCTTGAATTAGTTCAAAACTATTAGTAAAAAACTTCTTATAAAAAATAAAAATTTTAGAGAATTAAACACCTTTATCGAAATTTCAACTACAAACATCGTCTTCATGTTACAAAATTTTCGATTTTTTGAGTGATTCTCCATCTCTTCCTAATCGCCAAATGCTTCACTTGCAGATGCTTTATTTCTTCCTGATGGCGTTGCAAATCACGCATTCTTGTACTTTTTATCTCTTTTCTCTTTTCTTTTGTGACTTTTGATTATTCTATTCCTTCCAACAAAACCTGCATTGGTTGCGACTCTTCTTCATCAAATCCTAAACAGGTGAGAAGTACGTCTATTGACTAAAGGTTTCAATAAAACCATGTTTTCATGTCTATTTAGTTTAGATACCTCTGCATATCTAGTGCTGCCACACAAAACTGCAGATGTTAGCTCTTTGCGAACCTGGTATTTTATCCCCTAATTTTTACAAATTTCAGCACATGCTTGCGGCGGAGTACTATATTTGCTTGTCCAAATCTGGACTCCTTTTGGTTAAAATATGGAATTTAGCAGTCAGATGTCAAAGACATGTACTTTCTCCTTTTTGTCCATGGAAAGACAGAGAAAGTACATGCTTGGGTGGAATCCTCGAGGATTCCACCCCAAGCATACAACCATGGCCCTTCGTTCAAGTCGATGAGGACAAACACGAGTAGTACTCCAAGTTCATGAGTCAGTTACATCAACAATAATAAAGCCTTTATTCTATTTTATTTTGATTTTGATTTTGATCTCGGCAGTCAAGAAAACATGTTGTTCACGTCCTTGGCTGTGTTTCGAAAGTCAAATAGAGTGGACTGATTATTGTACTCACTTAGATTTCTCTTCCTATTCCACTTGCTTTTTGGTCAGTTTTCCTTGCAAAATACGAGAATCCTTCTCAGCACTTACTCCAAATTCGTTCTCGTTTTTTCCAAATTACTATATATTGCTCACATCGGATGGCTATTCCTATGCTTTTTCAAAGACTCTGGAAAAATTATGAGTACAAACACTTCTCGCGTATTTGAGTTCAAGATCTCTATCTAAAAACCCTGACCTCAATTGATAGAGGTGCAGCTCCTTTGAAATTGGATATTTACATACATGTGCATAAAATAAGAAGAACATTACTTTTTTATCTTCTTTCAGTATGACCATAAAGATATTCCTTTCATCTCCGGATATAAATATGGATAGATCATTCCCATTTTTTTCTTCCCATAAGAGGTAAGTGGTGCGTTGAGGCCAATACATCTGATTCAATGTGAGTGTTACTTGTCTTTTGAACCTGCTTGTAATCAACTCAATTCTCTCTGCATTCGGCCAAATATTCTTGCTCAAATAAACCACTTCAGTATATTGCTTTAGTTGGATTTATCCTCCTGAAATTGCATTTCCTTTTACAAGCTGTGAAAAGTACAAGCTCGTTATTTTTTTAGAGATTGTATCCAAATTCAAAGTTTCCATTTTAGATAGAATTTCTCTACTCATATGATTAAATTAGAGAAAAAAAATATGGATTTTGGTGATATGCGTATTGTAATGCTGCAAAGTAAAATTGATTTTTCTTTAATTATTAGTATGGTAATTTTATTTTTAGAAATAAGCTAAAAGATCTCATTGTAAAGGAAAGAAAAATCTGATCCAATATGAGTTTCTTTAATGATAAGAAGGTGCATTGATTCATACGTTACAAGATATTGTCTTTTTGAGCAAAGCATTCTTGAGTAACCTTTGGTTATCATGATCAGAACGTAATCAAACTCCTATGTGACGCAAAAATCTTTTAACACTTCAGGTTTTCCTAAGATTACAACCGAATTCAAGAGTGTACGAGTTCTTAATACAAATAACACATGTTTTAAATGAATTTTTTTCATTTATTTATTATTAATCACTTTTGGATTTTTTTATTCATCTTGTAATGTATGAATCAATGCATCTTCTTATCCTTAATAAAAACTCATATTGGATCAGATTTTTCTTTCCTTTACAATTTTTTCTTATTTCTAAAAAATAAAATCATGCTAATGTTAAAGGAAAATCAAGTTTATTTTGCAGCATTCAAAAACGCATATCACCAAAATCCATTTTTTTCTCCTAAATTTAACCATATGAGTAGACAAAATTAATCTAAAATGGAAACATTGAATTTGGATGCAATCTCTACAAAATAAGGAGCTTGTATTTCTCACAGCTTGTAAAAGGAAATAAAATGTACGGAGGATAGATTCAATTAAAAAATAGAATTTTATATTTGAATGCTAAAATGAGAAGGAAAAATTTCGGGTATGAAAATAAAAAAAACTTTAAATAATTGATGTTTTTGATTGTATATTTCATGATATGATTAACGTTTTCTTGGTTATATATTTTTAATTCAAATTAATAATAAACATGATGAATTCGTTTTCAAATGAATTTATCCAATTAAAATTCAAATTAAATTTAATAAAATTTATCCAATTAAATTTCTAAATGAAAATGAAAATTTTATTTATTGGATAAATTTTACAGAAGTTTGTTTGAAAATTTACATTAAATTTGAAAAAATAACAACTTCTCCTGGGTCAGAGTTTCCTTGATTAATATGATAGACCTACTAACTTTTATATAAATTAACAATGAAATGAATTCATTATCTCATTTTTTATGCATTCATTATACATAAAAAATACATGGTAAAAAATAATATTTCAAATTATTTCTTAATTATAAATAAGAATTAAAATATCCCAATCAAAAGATGTTCAACAATATAAAATTTGATTGATACAAAATTGACTTACATTATCTATAATTTAAATATCTAAAAACCTTTATCTATAGGATAATACACTACTATTACTAAAAGAAAAGAATTTGAAAACTTAATATGAAAGAAGAATGCATCAATAACTATAGTGAGTTAATTTTGAAATCAACAACATTTTTCCCTTTATTTATCTACCTTACATACATGAGAAAACTATATTGTATATATTCAGTTTTTCTCATGGACATCTCTCAAATTATCTGAAGTACCGAAAGGCAACCACCTCATATAGCAATAAGTCTAGTTTCTTTAAACAAGGAACGTATCATTTATCGTGAAGACAGCTCCTAAACGTTGAATCAACTAATGCAGCACTTCCCTAAGAGGCCCCGCATCGTGGCATGATTCATGTTAACCATCTTTTTTACTCTATTCAAAACAAGTATATCAAGGTTTCATACTACTTGTTTCATTTGTCTACATAATAATAATAAGAAATTTCTCATTTGTCTTACTATTATCAGGTACAGACTTATGGCGCAAGAAGACAAATGAGAAATGCCGTCTAAAATGTACTTAGTTTCTGCCCCAACAAGCAGCAGGCTCATGGAAAGATTTGGAAGCATGGACAAATTGGACTCGGATTGAGGATGGCGGTCAAGTAGTTGGCGGAAGTGGATATTCCTTTCCCATCTGATGCTGATTCTTTATTCCAACATCTGCTGTCTGTACTCCGTGCTTCCGGTGTTGATTGTTCAATCGGCGAGAAAAAGGCTTAATTGACAAAGACGTACGAAATTCAATCAGACTGAGATAGTTAGTTTCAAAAGGTAGTAACTTGGATTCTCTAACGAGCAAATCTTCTACGAGTACTTCTGGACATTTACCAGAATTTGAGAGAGAGAGTCGCATCCAGTACAGGTCTGTAACAAACTACAGATCATTTGAGTTCAATGATTGAGAGGGACAATCACGGAGCTTAAATAGATCCGAAACTATTCCACCAAAGCGGGATTCTTCGTTTTGCTGATCTATTCCTCCCAGTTAACTTCAGACACTGAGAGGACCATCTCAGCGTACAATCATACTGATAAACTGTCACAATCAATCGCCCTAACCGTAACCAGAATCCGTTCTTCGAAGGAAGTCGTCAACTTCCAGTTTCGCAGGTTCGGTTCGGTTCGGTAGGAAAAGTCAGATGACGCTTGACAAAGTCAGACAACCTCCAGCTCGCGGTTTCGGTTTCGGTTTGACGAGGACAGACAGACGACGTTGGACCGAGACAGAAAACCTCCAGTTCACCGTTTCGGATTGACGAAGACAGATATCGTTGGACAGAGGACGACGTCCGGATTGCAGTTTCGGGGTGTTCTGCACTGTGTCGCTTGTTGCCTTTCTGTACTCTTCAAGTCACACGTGGCCTACTTTCGGTCAATTCGAGGACGGGACCAAAATGCCTCAATCGAATGAACAGAGGCGTTCGGAGGGTCCGGGCGTTCCTCGCCAAAGTCCATAAATAGGGGCACCAGGGCTCCAGCTTTCTCACATTCTCAGTCTCGAAGTCCAGGGCTCATCCGATCGCATCGTGCTCTTGGCTGGCTCCTGGCTATGGATGGCCCTTGTGGTCTTCATGGACCTCGAATTCAAACATCTGTTCGATGTATCCGAGTAAATCCAATAATTACTCCATTATTGGACATGTACAGTTAGATCTATTTCCATGATGATGGAGTGAATGCAGCTCACTCACTCTCGTTCAAAAGAGCTCGACCAGCAGAAGAAGCAGCAGCGGCAGAAGGAGCAGATCGCTTTTCATCTAAAGAGGATCCAACAATCTCCCACCATGAGAGGCCCAGCACGTCACTATTTCGACAGTTGGATACTCCGAGAGACCGCGAACCAAGGAATGACGGCACACCTGGACCACGCAGCTCGTGCTACAGCTGTAATCGATTCTTGATGAAGTCCATTATCATCACAGCGACTTGTTGTCATCGGTGCGTCGCTCTCGCTCGCCCCCGGACTATAAAGCTCGATGGGAGCCACACGACGATCTGCACTGCATTTGCTCGTGAGAGTCTCGCTCGTCGTACGTCAGCTCGGAATTATTCCTTCACCAGAGATCCGCCGTCCCAGCGCTCGCAGCTCGTGCGCTGTTATCGAGTTCAGACATCAAATCTTCCCTGATGTTACTGAAAATGGATGGCGCCGAGCCATGTGCTCGGATTGTACACCCCGTGGATTGCAGGTACATTCCTGAGGAGGAGGCTTTCACTCATCCGCTGCGAAGCTGGTCGTTCGTCTTCTCTCCATGAACGGCAGCCAACACGAGGCAAACCCTTCCTTCCCTGCACGGAATTCCAACCCCGTCAGTACAAGGCCTCTAGTGCCGATCATTCGTCCATCGCCCGTGTTTGACTCGTTGGTCCAGAGCATCAATGCCCCTACCGTGGAGTGAGAACGAGTAGTGTACTGGAAGGTCTGCTTTGATCACCAAAGACGGCACGCGAGATGCATTTGGAATTGCATTTGCAATTCTAGTCTGAAGCTTCACATGACGCTGCACGATCGTCGAGAGCTTGTACGATTTACTGTTCACTCGAGTTCAAAGAGTTTGCATTGTGCTGTTATTTTGAGCTTTTAGATGAAATGTGCAGAATCAAGAGGTTCAAAACACGTGGAAGACGAGTCGAGTCAGCGAGTTCATCTGCTCGCTGTGATGATAGGAGTTCAAATACAGGTCGAGTCCTTCCACACTGTTGTGTTTGTTTCATCCTCATACTTCTCGAAGCTCCACGGCATCGACAGGTCCCAGGACGTGGCATAGGTCTGATCCGTTTCGATTTGAGGGACGTATTTGCTCGATTGAGCAATGTCGCCGTATATTCTCTTGGTAACGTCGCCCCTTAGGCTTGATCTGGGTATTCTGTCACACGGACTGTCCTGCTCCGAACTGCGGTGGTCTGACATTCGTCTGAAGGCCGATCTCGCTATGCAGCTTGTGGTTCCACTTCCAGCATTTGCAACTGCTGACAGCTGATTATGGGAGCGAATTGACAACTTTGGTTGAATTCCGCTCCCATACTCAGCTATCGGCATTTGCAAACCTGCAGATATTACGAGATCTGAGCGAGCGGGGCCGAGTCTATAATGCGGTAGGTATCTCCAGTCTCTTTCTTTTTCCTGCAAACGTTTTTCAAGCAGACAATAATTCGAAGTGCTCACGTGTGTGATCTAAACCCTGTGAAGAATGAATCTGCAAGTATAGACAATCTCTGGACCATGAAGGATAAAGGCAGAAATTGTTATAAATGTTTATGGCTGACATAAAGCGATGCTTTCACTTGACATTTTCTCTATCGTGCCGACTTGAAGCAGAAGAGGAGATTGCAGCGTATGTATCGTCGAACATCATATTCCCAACCCTCGAGATCGCTGGTAAAAGTTCTGCCCGCCTGCAGTAATCATGGATAGGGATGGTGCTAATGTTGATTGCATTAGGCTTCAAAGAATTAGTTCAACACAAGGACACGATGTTCCAACGAGCACTACAAGCGCAATCTTATTGACATGAGTGGATACTCATGTCAATGAGATTATAGGTTCTTCATAAGTAGTTTCTCATCGTGGATTCAAAACTGACGAAAATACGTGACCGCCCTTAGGAAGCTTGCTCCACGGAGAGTAATAGCATGCGTCGATTATCACACGCCTAGAAATATCTGAAGATAATTGGAAGAATTTGACAGCACTGTGATCAGCAAAGGGAAATGCGCCAATCACCATATCCTCCTGCAATGATTCATTTCACGATCTGTTCAAGCCAAGCGTACTGCGAACAAGCAGCCTTACTCAATAACATCTAAACCACGTACAGGTTATCCGGAGCAGCTGTGCGGTAAGGTGTCGATCCTGTCAGCAGGAACGGTAAACAATTGCTGCTAATAAACAACGACATCGGTGCATCCTCCATCACGATCGTTCCTTCCTCCACGACTGTCATATTAAGCACGGTGGGATCTGTAGCCCATCACTTCCAAGCTGCAATGATCGCTATGAGTCCTGAACATCGTAACCGCAACAGAAGGTACTCCCTAGAACGTTTGTCTAGGCCACTGTAACTAGTCCTCCTCGAAACTTCACGCCCACGTGATTCCAAGAACCGATTGGTACATCTGGACATAGATTGTACACGTATGGTATGGAGCAAACTAGTCTGCTTGCCTACAGTAGTGGAGGACGACCATGAACGAAACACATGCGAGCATCGTGGGCTCAGAGAACGCTATCCGTGACCCCACCGCTTGTGAGTCGATCGATCGTTTCCCGTCCGAAAAACGCTCAAAAGTTTAATTTTGTCTGCACATTCAGATCGTTCCGAGGGTATCTTTAAGCTATCTGGGCATGTCGATAAGAAATTCTGCTGTCGTCCCGAGGGCGACATCAGATATCACCTGATGCGCGAAGAGGCTTCTGGCAAGGCATTCTAGATCTGTGAACCTCGAGATATGTTTCACTCATTTCCATAAGCAGAATGTGTTCACATCACACGATCTGAAAGAACTGAAACCACCAAGACCAAACATGTACATGGTCTGGCCAAATACAAACCGAGATTAGCACTGGACTGCGAAATGCAGGAGAACAATAGTGTACTTGTCTACGTGTCGAATCAAATGACACAGACAAACAGTGGAAAAAATTATGTGCTGGACTGTCCATCACATGAATCCACCGGCGGGGACGAGGAGAACAATCAGTACGTGGCACATACATACAAGGATATGAAGAACGAGGACACGTTCTCGATTCGGGACTGGCGTACAAGAAGCAGACCACCTGGGTGTATGTGCGGCACTGATAACAACAGATCATTAGTGGCGATGGCGAGGAGAGTAGTGGAGCATGGAATAATGTTTCCGGAAAGCAGGCAGCTCCTTGGTTACGACACCCTAATGGCTAATGGTCTGAGAACACCGTAGTGCAAAAGCTTGAAGCATAATAATAAAGCAGAAGTGTAAGCCTTCTGGTACATATGGTCACGTATACACAAGATCAGATAAGGTACGAGCACCGCTGCAGATGCACAGATTTTGTAGGCCTTCCTTGCCATCACGTTTATCTGGCGCTACGGAATCGGTCTTCGGAGTCTACACATCGCACGTACACAAGCTCGCTGGATGGATGGGCTGTTCCGTTTTGGATGTAGGCAGGTCGCGAGAACAGTCTAATAGTACGTACCCTCGACACCTTTTCCTCGAAAAGAGCCATAAAGCTGAAAAGGAGAACGAGGGAAAAAGCCGATCCGGAATATTCCTGCAATCCGCAAACCCCCTTCGTCGTATTAAATAATGGCACCTGCAGTAATCCCACGACTGTCCAAGACCCTGAGACTCGAACAGAGAATGACATTACTCGACGATCAGCTCAGAGTGATCGACTTGGCACAACGCCAAACGGCAATGAATGTGGGCTTTTGACCTTGCGAGCACGGGAGCCAGTCCCCAGTTGTCATCTAACGGCTAATCAGACCCCACTTGCAGCAACGAGCCACCCCCTCCACCCTCCCCCCTCCCCCTCACCGACCTACTCTCGCAAATCTACGACGGCTTTACTCTCGGGGGGGCAATGATGAGCCCGCAGAGCGCTCGGACTCGTTCTTCGAGTATGATACTGTTGCGGGTATGGACGACAATGATTGCTCGAACCCTCTGATTGTTCGCCCACGACGAGGGTTCTCGCACGGGTTCTTTCTGTTTGTTGTTCACAACATCTTCGTCACGTGAAAGGCGAGGCCTGCACAGTCGATTCTGGAGTTGAGATGGTTTGTGAACTTGCGTTGAAAAGAACGAACGGAATCAGATCTCTGAGAAAAGACGTGTGGCTTTTCAATCCGGTCGAGTCCATCAAGCTGATGCTGATTCAGTATAAACTCTTCTGGAGGATCGTCTGAAAGATAGATGTGCGAGCAAAAGTAAGGAGCGGAGAAAAAGTTGCGAAAGGCCGAGTGATATTCACATTGTCATGTTCTGGCATTCGATGCTAGAGAAGCCACTCGGTAAGGCAGTATGAACGGACTTTGGTCGAGATCATGGTGCTTGCAGCACGCACTTTTCGAAGAATCCGACGATTCTGCGACTAGAAGAATGAGCCTTGAGAGGTCACATCGGGCGCTTGATTTGGACGTAGTTGTGAAGCAATTTTGACAAGGAAATTTTTTCTCTCGGTCGCTTTCACTTCGAAAGTATCAGACAGATCAGGCGAATTCCGTCGTCCAAATTTGTACGTCCCGCTTACGACCTCTCCATTATTGGTTTGCCCAATTTGTGAAAAAACTCTTCCGTCGCTTTCTTCAGGAATATCTGTTCAAGACTTGTCATGCATGCAAGAGCCTCCTTCGGTTCGCCACCTGCCGACCCGCCCTGCTCGAAATATCTCCATATATCTTATTCTTGCACCAGGTTATGACGAATCTAGAATCACAGAACGAGCAACGATTATACTCTGAAGAGATCTCGGATTCAGAGCTGCACGAAGACTGTTCCGAACTCAGTTCTCGCCTAAAATCTCGTGAATGAGGAGTAACTCACTGTCAAACTGTTCCTTTGAGCAGCATGTTTGTGGGCCCTGTCTCCTTTACAGCGACTCTAAATTTCTAGCCTGTCGTATTGATCTGATCTCGATTAACTTCTCGATTGTCTACCGAATCCTCGACTAACAAGAGATATGATTCCTAAGTATGTTGTCCGCTACGAACTTCAGAAGCAAATCAATTTTCAGCTGTTATGTTTGCTTATTGTTATTATAACAATGACTAGTTTCGACCGCTTTTTACTTTGAAAACCTTGCTTGGAAGACAACGTCCTGCCCAGGTTCTCGAGGGTTTGTAGGTACGCAGGTGTTCAGAACCTCATCCTTCTGAGAAAGTACCAGGTGCCATGATGTGATGTTGAATTATCAAGGCTTGCGGGTCGAATCACAATCGGGCGAACCACTTTCCTCGTGAAAAGGGTTATCGAACCAAGTCTGACCAAATGATGGAATGTCGACGTCATGCCCGCAGGAAGATCACCGTGACATCGTAGAAGGATGGCAACCTAGCTGGCACGGCAATTCTCCTCCGTTAGAACATACTCACATCATGAAGTTTAGAGGAGATTGATCGAAACTAGAGCGATGGACAGCGAGGAAAAAGCATTCGGAATGTCGTCGGCGGCCCCCAACCGAGCGCTATCAGGGAGAGAGGAAAAGGCGATGGGACTAGCATTGCGGTGGCAGAATTTCTACAAAAGCAAAACAATGTCCTACTGGACGCTTCTGTTCCTCAGCTTGTTTGCGATGATGACCGCATTCCCAGCCTCCAGCATCCTCACCAGACTCTACTTCACCAATGGCGCCACCAGCAAGTGGATCATCTCATGGCTGGCAGCCGCCGGCTGGCCAATCTCAGCGGCATTACTTCTGGCATACTGCGTCATGGAGGGCGAGCATCCGTCCCCACTAAGATGGGATCTGACACTCGCATATGCCGTGCTGGGATTTTTAAGCGCTGCCGACAATGTGATGTACGCCTACGCATACGCATACCTACCAGCCTCGACGGCAGCCCTTCTCGCATCGACATCGCTCTGTTTCACAGCCATTCTCGCTTATTTCATGGTCGGGCAGAAGTATAATGCGTCCATCGTCAACGCCGTGGGGATTATGACAACAGCAGCCGTGCTTCTAGGTTTAGATCAAGGCTCCGATCGTCCTTTCGGGGTTTCATCGGGCCAATACACACTGGGCTTCATTTTGGACATCTGCGCCTCAGCGCTGCACGGGCTCATATTCAATCTGTCCGAGCTCTTGTTCATCAAAATTCTCGGAAGAAGAACTTTCCGCTTCGTCCTCGAAGCGCAGACTGCGACGGGGATCTTTGCCACCATCTTCACCACCATAGCTGTCGTCATCGCCGGCGACTTCCAAAAGATTCACACGGAAGCTCAGAACTTCAAGGACGGCCCCGGAGCTTACTACCAAGTGTTCGCATGGTCGGCCGTCTCGTTCCAGCTCGGAGTCCTCGGAAGCGTCGGATGCCTCTTCTTGGCAAATACTCTTCTTGCTGGGGTTTTGAACGCAGCCCGAGTTCCCGCCACGACAGTCGTAGCGGTGATCGTTTTCAACGATGCCATGGGCGGGATCAAAATCACGGCTGTCATTCTCACCGTCTGGAGCTTGGCATCGTACACGTGGGGCAGCAGGAATTTGAAGGTGGAGGAGGAGGAGAAAGTCCCAATTTTGGCGAGCCCGGATGCCAGTCGAGGCAGAATGCTCCAACCTGTGAGCAATGCCGCTTAAGGAATTTGGACTAAATTTCAATTTCACTAAATTCATACTCGACTGTCCAGCAAAAGCTCACTGAAATCGTACTCCACCGCATGTGAGAAGGACCAGAATCAAATTGATTCTGGTTGCTTGAACGGGTGCCGAATGGACCCGCAAACTGACAGCGGCATGGCCCCAGACGTTTCATATCTTTCATTCCATAGAATGTTCCGGAACATGACACATCCGACAAATGACGAACTCTCCTCCACTTCATGAGGTCCGATCGGTGGACGAAGTCCAAGCACGAGAAAGTCCATTATGTTGCGATCTCAACTGCAACGCTAGGTTCACAAGACCATCTCCTGCACAGCTTCTCAAGCTACTGACACAACGGAACAATGGTTAGACAATCAGGAGCAGTAGAATGGTATCCTAGTGCCACTACAGTGCCGAGGTAGCTGGAATCAGGGAGGCATGAACAAAGTGAATCACGTAAGCGAGCAGTTGATCATGGCAACCGGATTTTAGTTGTGATTGGACACTTTCAACTGTAACTGAACCAACCTTTTGACGTGTAGGCAGATGGAAACCTCTCGCCTTTTGAGGAGAATTTCAATATCGAAATTAGATTCCCTCGAGGAGCCTGATGTTCCTACCTCAGAAGAGAACGTGGTCACCTCTTGAGATGGTTAAGTCTCCATTAAGCTGAAACTGAAAGCTCTGGTGGATGATATCAGACGCTGATCTTGCCGAATTGCCGAATCTTTGTAGAGGCCAATTTTTCTGGAATCGCAAAGAGTGGGAGATACTTCATTGTATATTAGCTGGAACTGTACGTGACCTTGGTCTGGAAAGTGATCGTGTTGATATTCAGTGTTTGGATGTCTACTGGGATTAGACTTCGAGTTGCAATAGAATTATTGCCCGAGGGTAATAATTCCTCGAAAGAATGTCTCTTTCCTTGTATGCTACGTATCTTTAGCGCCACACTGGAACTATGTCTTGTCCTTGTTCAGCTGTTTAAAATATGTCAAAAGAACTTTGAGCTCGTAATCACAGACCTATTTTTTATGTACACCTTGCACAAGAAGGAACATAAGGACGAATATGTTTCTGCAGTTAACTCGTGGGTCCAAAGTTTCAACCCTTATCGCAAGGTCCATAACTATGGCTACATGTGACTCAAGGAAAGATGTACTCTTGCGAGTCTGCACGACACAAGTGATTGACATAATATTCTGCCATTTTGGACAGCAGTCTTGGACGTGGACTCTGGCTCTTCGGTTCCGCAAAGCAGGAGAAATTCTCCTCCCCTGAATATTTTTAATCCTCGAGTTGACGACTAACGAGGTCGGTGTCCTCGAGGCAGAGCGAAACCTGTAGCGCCAGGCTTCTCTGTTCCAAACGACAAGATGCGAATAATATCTTTACAGCCGAGGCAGCAAAGAAATACAGGGACCACAACTCATGTCTCATCTCACGTTTCTCAAACATTCCGAATAATATCTCTTTGATCGAACTCTTTTGAAGGTTCTATGATCTGAGTGAGTGCCCACAGCTCCAACAGTCCATCGGCTGGCGCTAGGAAGGACGGGGACGAGCCGAGCTCAATGTCAAGCAGAATAAAGAGGTTTGACTCGACATATTGGCAAGGGAGCACAGAAATCCAGACTAGCTGTCCCATCTATGATAACCTAGATACCTTGTAGTTTGTATAGATCGTATCTTATCCCAACATGTATCATGATCATATCAGGTATCGCAATATATATTCCCGTACACATTTTATATAAATGTACGGGAATACATTAAACCAATATATTTTATTTTGCAAAAGTCGGAAAATATTTTCCCTTGATTACCATACAGTATAGGATAGATCGAAGACTATCCATTAAAAGGGGAGTAGAAAGAATCAACTACACGGTATAAGAATGTGATCACCAATCTCTGAAGAGAAGTTCCCCATTGGGGACCACCAGCACCGAGGATGAAGGCAAGCTTCCGCCTACGGAGTATTCGAGGCTAAACCGAGACTTACCAGATGAGGGAGCTCGAATCTACTCGTAGTGACTAGACAGAAAGTTCTCATCCGGACCTTCACCGATTGCGTTCGAAGTTGGAATGCCTCTGTCTGAAGGAAGAACCCGAACTCTGTTTGCTGGATGTGTGTGGACTACGCTTTCCACGAAGAATGCTAATCTGATTGGACTTCGTTTGTAATACCGTCGATGCAACCCTGGTCTCGACAGGGAGGGCCAGTGATGCAAGAGCCATCTCCAGCCTCTACTGGGACTGGAAGAGAAGACCTTACATTTGAGGACTCCACGGTCTAGAACGACGCAGGATCTATAAGCCTGACGTCCGTTCTTCCAGAGCTGGAGCTCCCCAGAAACAACCAGTCTTTGCGCAGACGTCAATGCGTTGATTGCGTCATACTTTTTCGTCTCTAGCTCCCGTGGACTTCATTTCGTGAGCTTCCTCAGTTCGTGGAACGGGAACGTCCTGGGTCCTAACTGCTTCCTTCCACCAGAAAAGAAAAGCATAGGGGCGAAGTGTATCTTGGAGGCTGGAGTGAAGATTCAGGAGAAGCATATGTCGCGTGATCCTCGACTGCCCGTGGACGAAATATAAGGCAGGAGAATTCGCTACTTTCTCGCAATCAATGCAGTCCCATCTGAAACAGCTTCACGGAAGAGACGGCCGGTGCCCAAATTCGTGCATCGGCCGGCTCTCTAACGAGGAGTTGGATCCGAAGCTGCGAATGAAGGCTGGCGCTAGAAGGCTGTGAGCTGGCGAACACTCTCCAGGTCAGCTTTCTTCAATGGCCGGAAAGCTTTTGGCGTCTGAATGGTAATTACTGTTTGAGTATTCTCTGATACGAGTCAACATCCAGCCAGATTCAGGATGCGGACGTGTATGCTATCCACCTTGAGAGAAGACGGTCAGGTCTCACTCCATGGTCATTACCTGGAATGATCCAGAAGCACCGGTGGATCCTGATGCACATCTGCTCGGCAGGCAGGGCACGCAGAAAGCGGTGAAGTGAATGTAATCTGAAAACGAGGGACTTCCAAACGTGGATGAACCGAAGCTTGCATACATGTTCCTGTAACGAGCGTTCTGGGTTGATGAAACTACTGGGTTTCAAAAGTGTGTGATGATTGATCACTTTCCATGCCGGGACTCTGGCAGTGGACCAGTGCAATTCCAAACTTATCTTTAGATCGTTCTTTTCATCCTTCATTGTATTCCACATCCATTCTAGTTCTGGTTTCAGTTCTGAAATGTAATTCAGATGATTGTCACTGTGCATCTGATTCACTGGTACGATTAAATTCACGGCAAGGTCTCACGTTTGCCTTCACGTTCCAAATATCGTCTGACTGTAGGTAATAAGATGCCATTCAGCGATGTTCTGAATGGCTTCGATAATCGGAGAAAGCAACAGGTGAAAGGTGCAGTCCTCGAGAAAAGAATCGCAAACTTTGGCCAGGATAGGACGATGTTGGAATCTCTTCTCTCAGTAGCAGGTAAATCTTGATAAGATTCGGTGCCAGCCTCCGGAGAAGGTGAGACTGTTGTCACAGTTTTCTCGAAGCTGACTAGCCCCAGAGATTGATGTAATTTCGGACGCGGAGCACATGTCATCTCCATGAACCATACATCTCCACCTCTACCCTGCTTCTATCATCTTAAAAAAAAACGAACCGCTTCATTCACGCCCACGAAGATCTCGATTCCCCAACAATCGTCCTCGGAAGTGGTTATCACCAATCTGAAATCACCAATGTAAACCTCAAGAACCTTCAAGGTGTGTTTACACGTAATGTACCGATCACATGCAATTAACGTCAAACCGAAGATGTTTGGAGCTAAATCTCGAAACATCGACGAACGGAGCTCTCTCGTAGTTTCCAGCCTGAATAAGTCCAACACGGTACCTCCAGTGCACACACCTTTACAACTCTTTAACATTATTCTGAGTCCGTACTGACAGAAGATCTTGGACTTGGCCGGCGAAACCAGCGGCAACGAGGAACAATCTCAAACAAAAAGTTCTTCCCGAAGGAATGTAGACAACAAATGACTCAACATGAGCTCTGGAGATGGCCGACTACCGGTGACCGGTCCCAAATAGCGGGACGCATGTGCGTGCACGTCGCGGAATATTCGCCTGGACCGTGGATAGTCCCGAATTCGGGCGGAGATTTGTGACCCTCGCTGTACCGTGCCGTACTCGAAAAGCAGGTCCAGTTCTGTACTGCCGGACAGACAGAAGCTTCCGCGCCGGGCTCTTGTACCGCACATGAAGGGCAGGACGTGGGAACAGCCTACAGGTTACTCTATCGAACTTTCTATACAATGACCTGTCATATCACTTACTGTATAGACAAAACTATATAGCTATGAACAAACTAGGCATTAAACTTTAATCCCTACACGAATCATCTATCAATCTGTCACATATTTCGATCCGCACTTCACTTAACAAGCAACTATCACACCCTGATAATTATCAATAGGATTCACTGGTTTTTTCTATCGATTTTGACCTTCTATGGAATCATCACGTATAAGTTCTTTCTTCTCTCTTTCTTCCCTTGTTTCTCTCTTCTCCTTTCTCTCCCTCTCTCCAAGGCTCTCTGTATGTAGCTCTACGGTGTGGTCAGGGGGATTAAGTGTAAGTGAAGTCGTAAAGTGCGGGCGGTAGCCGTGGAATGCCAACGGTCGCCGGATATGGCGATGGTTTTAAGGGATATATGAAACTCATAGACCCAAAACCCATATTCTTATGAGCAGCATATCAATAATGAGGTAACAAATTATTTGTCAATAATGTTATATGCACCTTCGCAAACACGCACATCGACTACGCCTAATTTCAAATAGATCCTATAAAGTTTTCTTTATTATTGTATTTCAATCAGAACATACACAACAGACCATCAATAGCTTATTCCATTTCATACAATTATCATTTATAGCAATCACAAATGACAATTGACTTTGGAACTATGATGGAATAACTAAGTCATATATATATGACTTGATAAAATCTTAAATCTAAGGTCAAGCATACCATATTAAGGCTGAAATCAAGGCTAGTCCTGCATAGCAAAATGTGGCATAATTACAATTAAACCGTATTTTTACATAGTAAAAATTCAAAGTTGAAGTGATTTTATATGAAAAAATTATAAACAATAGCAAGCAATTTTATAAAATAGGAAAAGAAAATGCAACTATAAACACATTGTTTCCTTGTTTGAGGTTTATATTGTATCCAGTAGGAAGAAACTTGCTACATGGAATCAACACGTCATGATATTACACATGTGTTGATGTTTAATATATTAGTGATGAACATTGAGATCATCGTTCGGCATAATTGCTATCGCTTTCAAGATGCCTTCAAATATCAAGTGATGATTATTTTTTATTTGATTCAATAATTTTATACATTTCGCTTGATTTGATACATGACATTATATTTTCCAATTTGATTCCAATAGTATAACGTGATAACACCATGAACTTTTCATATATAGATCTTGATACATAATTACATTTAGAAATAAAATGATTCACATAACGTTGTTTTTCGAAAATTTATAGTGAATATTAATATAATCAAGTTATCAATATGTAGATTTTGACTCGAACTAATTTTATATCAGAATATATTTAATATTCTGATCTACAATTAATATGAATGTTTTTAAAAATTCTATGAACAAAATGTCAACATTTACTTTTAACACATAAGTTATCTTGATATTACACATCATATTATTATTAATTATTACACATATAATAATAAAGTAAACTATAATTAGTTTGATGTTGCGATATACAATGTTAAAAATTTAATTATCCTAGATAATTATATTTTTAAAAACATAAGTTGTTTGAACATTTGAGAAGATCATATGATATTCATAACGAGTATTATGAAATGATGCACACATATGTACAAAAAGATAAAACTAACTTGATGCGATGTTTTGAAATTATCATGCGATATTCATGAAATGAAATTACTTACAAACCTCTTTTGTATTTTTTAAATATTGTCATTTGAAATATCTTAAGTATAAGAAATAATTAAATTTAAATATTTATTAAAAAATAATTATAATTTTAAAATATTTGAATTTTTGATATCTCAATTTTTTTTCAATTTAGAAAATTGTGAATTAAAAATATTTAAAACAAAAAATTTATGAATTTCTTTAATTTATATTTTTTCATAAGAAGAAATAATAAGAGATATTACAATTTTTTTTCATCCTTTGATTATATATACACAAGTATTTAATTCATTTTTATTTTAACAGATGATAATTATTATTTTTTAAATAAATAATTTGATAGATTTAATAATATATCATTTTATATGATATATTATATATAAAATTCGAAAAAAAAAATTAGCAACATAAGAAGATGCTGAGAATTAATTTTGATACAAATTTATATTAAAATCTAAAATTCAATCTTAGAATAATATTGATAAGTTTATAAATGAACTTATTTTTTAGTTTCTCTGAAACTTTTCAACTGTTGATATCAAGATTAGAAAAAATGTAAATCATATGAAATTTAGAACAAAATAAACTTCTTGGTGTATGCATATAATAAACGTAGGAATTTTTTGTTTTACAAAATAATTGAAATATATAATAAAAACGAAATATTTGCGCTGTACTTATTTTATTACTGTGTTTTAACACTTGTACTCTGTTAGCAATAAATTCTTTGTTTTCGTTCCCAACGGTGACTTCTAGCATATACTAGAGTAGAATAATCAAAATATAAAAAGCTCATACCAAAAAATTATGCCAAGAATCTCATATATGATTGAAAACATATATTTTAAATCAAAAACTAAACTGCAATAGATTCAGTTTAAAAATCTGATTCATTTGACGTAATGATGATATGTCAGATAATATTTTGACATGTTTCATTTATAATTACAAAGTTGTATGATTTAAACAGTATGTGAATAATATTGCTCAATTCCACTGTAACTTTATGATTTAAAATTTGATTAATCTTACTGCAATAAATTATTTTGTTGGTACAATTTTTGCATGTAATTATAGAAATAAAATACAGTAAGTTTTGGAAATGAAACATAGAAGAAATATTTTAGATTTTCACTTCAAAGATCATAATTGATTTGGATCAATGTTGTGTATGAAGAAATTGAATATTACTTATCAGTCATATATTTGCTGCTTATTTCTGTGATCATTCAACGATTCAAGTGTTTAAAAAAAATCGTTATTTCATGTTATTTTAAACCTTGAACAACTCAAGTTTTTCTTGCCAATGAAGATTCTAGTTGACTTTTTGCTATACAAAATGACAACAAAGATAATAGATCATTTGAAATTGATTTAGATTTTTTGCAACTTGTTTATTACTACCTGGTAAAGAAAGATAGTTGATATTACTATTTTTGATGTAATCTTGATTAATTATATTTTTCAAATTTTCTATTATTGAATATTGAAGCTTTTTTAGATATTAAATCATACAAAATTGTCTTGAAGACAGATTTTCAAATTATAAATAGTATATTGATAAAATTTACATGTTTTTTGTATATCTGATGATTAATTTTTTATAGAAATATATCATTTTCTCGAAGAATAAGTAATTATCAACATAGAAAATTTTTATCTGAATATATTGATATTTTCCCAAAATTTTATTTCTATTTGAAATTTATATTCATTATATTCATCTGGTGATTTAACGTACTATATGTAATAAGTTTTTATAATAATTGAAATCACATTTTGAATATTTGCGCATAGAAGACAAAACCTTTGATTAATCTTTATTTTTATTTGAATTGATCAAGACTACACATTTTTAAGTGCAAAATTTGATTTTTTATGTTTGCCTTTTTTTATAAGAATCTAAAAATATATTTATATAATTCGAGATGAATAATGAATATTAAGATTAGTCATTGAAGCTAGTTATTATTGATCCATATGTAAATTATATTTGTCAAAACATATTATCACATGATGAAAATTACACTTGTTAAAAATGTATGCACATATATAATCATCTTTTTATAAAATAATTATGAAAAAATTAATGTATGTTAACATAATGTCTTTTGTCAATTAAATAAATAAAATTTTATAAACTTGTAATAATTTTGCCATGCTTGAAATTTTTCATAACTAGAAAATAGTTGTTTTTTACATAATATGATCATGTTTGAGCATGTATCAAAAAATTTGTTATTAAATTATTTTTTCCAAAAATCATTTTACATAAGATCCAATATTTGTTTTATATTTTTATATAGAATCACTTTTACATATACACTTTTTTCTATTATAAAAATACACTTGATTTTCTTTCAGAAGATTTTTGCTATATTTCGTATTTTAAATATTGATTTAAATTTATTTTTTTGGATTTATATAAAATTTATTTAAAAAAATATCAAAGTTTTTAATATAACTCATTGTTATTAAAATATATTTTTTAAAACATCAACAGATAAATTTTTATAAGACTTCAAATTTCGTTTTGAATAAACTTATTTCTTTCAGTGTTAAATAATATAAATATTTTCATAAATAAAATCCATCAAAAATTTATAATTTTTTAATCTACTTTGTCTTTTGAATTTTTTTAAAAATATGCAAACAACAAAAATATTGGATTTATAAATTTTTTTATTTCATTGCAAATTATTTTGCTTACGTTTAATTTTGTGACAATTAGTGTAAACAAAATTATCAAAAATTTTACAAAAAACATAAGAAACCACATTATAATCAAAATTATTTCATCAGAATCAACATATATATATATATATATATATATAAATTTTTATTGGTATTTAATCATTCAAAAATTATAATAACATTGATAAAAAATATTTTTAATCATGCTCATAATTTTTAATTCAATTAAAAATTTTGAAATATCATAACAGACTTTATACTCACTTTATAATTTTCACTATATATTGTGCTCGTATTATCAAATAATTAATGATGTTGTTCACGATTAATAATCCATATTGTACAAATTTTAATAAGTTGAAATATACTTGTCAAATATCAAATACTTGTCAGAACATAAGTTTTTCCCATAAACTATTAAAATTAAAACTCTCAATGAGCCAAATAAAAATAATCTACAAATAAAACGACTGACTTTATTATTAGAAAAATGATTTTTGCCAAAATTTCATAACAATATATTTATTGTAAAAAATAATCATTGTGGATATAAATTCAAAATTTTGAAACAATGCAACAATTGACAATTTTAGAAAAGTTGATCATAAATGGATTTAAGAGTAGCTTTTACGGAATTTCATATAATATACTTTTCATTTTAAAAAATGATTTCCACTTTGATCAAATAAATTTTCAGATGTATAATATTCATTTATTGTAATAAAATTTAAGATATGATCTCTTGGAACCTTCTTATCATATCAAATCTTCTGCATGGTCTTGCACACTGAATTTTGATAATGTTTTTCCCTAAAATTTCATCTATTTATCTAAAGATTTGATTTATACCATTATTTATCATATATTCCTCACAACACCAAATGATAAGTGATATTTATACTTACAATACATTCTTTGTAAACTTTTTTGATAGTTATAATTTGGATACTGTAGATTCTGCAATGCATTTTCATCACTGTGATGTATACGAAAATGAATTTCCAGTCTCGTTTGGTTCTATACTTGTAAGCCTCGATGGCAATTGCTCTTGTTTGTCGATATTTTCTTGTTGCTATCCATGACCATGATCCATGCAGGTGGAACCCTAAACTCTAAGCGACTACGTTCTTGAAGGGGATTATGAACCTGGTATGGGGAACTGGAACGGTGTGTATGGTGGTGGGCTCGACAAGATAACCGCGGTGGAGAACAAAACTGGGGTAGTTCCGCTGGTTTCTTGACAGTTACGTCCATTCGAACGAATCGAGAGAGTTTCGGTCAACAGCCCCACGTTTCCTCCCTATCGGAAGGGGCGCAGACCCTCCAAGTCCGTCAACGTGGAAATTTAAATATATCCGGCTCATGAGTGCGAAGATGACCGACCCGCTTTCAACGCACGGAGCGTGTTCGTATTGGCCGGCTGGTGCCGACAGAAGACCAACGTCCCGGTGGCCTTTGAAATGGCCGGGACCCCCGCCCATCCCCGGCGACCGGACCCCGAGATTGGCACCGGGTGCCAATCCGGGGTCCGGTCTTCTCGAGTTTGCCGACGGCGAGGATCTAGAAGAGCCCGACGACGACAGAGCATTGCTACCGTTGCCGCGCTCTTCGGCCGCAAGTCCCGCGGATGCTGTTGCGCTGATGCGGCAGTGCTCGTGGGAGTGAGAGTGTTCGGGGGGCGGGAGAGTGGTTGATCGCCGGAGTCTTATCATAGCGCAGACCCAGGACGTTGCCGCCGTCTTCGTCGTGCGCCTCTTTCTTTCTTTCCTCGTTTCCTCGCGTCGTCTAAATACTCGAGGAGCGCTTCGGCTCTTTGATCATCTTTCGGTCGTTTGTTCGTGCGCTCGCTTCGTCTTCTTCTTCGCTTCTCCCCCCGGAAGCTCGTGGGGTTTGATTCCAACAGACCGCGTTGGCACTGCATTCGGCGTTGACACGTCCGGTTAGTGGAGCGGTGGTATCATTTTGCAGATTAAGTAAAGCAGGGCCTCGGTTCACGTCGCTCTTCTTGAGGCGGTCTCGATTGGTTGGGCTGGCAGGCTGACTGATTGATTGATTGATAAATCGGACTCGAAAATAGTTTGGTGAGACTCGATGGCTGCTCGGGATGGCGGTTCGGAAGGTCAAGGTCTAGGATGGGCCGATCAATGGGACTACAAGTTTAATGACACCAACAAGGGAGATCTCGCAGTGTCGAGCCAGAAGCCTACGAAGAAGGAGAAGCTGGCAGAGGTCAACAAGAAGATGAAAGCTGCTGCCAGTACGGGGTTCCAAAAGGCCAAGGTTGTTGCCACCGTGGGCGCGCAGAAGGTCAAGAGTGGGTCGTCCGCTGGCGTAAGATGGATGAAGGAGCAGTACGAGAAGCGAAAAGCCACCAAGGCCTGATGATGATTCGTGGAGGTGTCAATGTTGAGAAAATGTTTCATTTGTGGGGACGCAGTTAGACTTGCACTAACTGATGGGAACGCGTAGCGGTAAACGTAGGAAGGGAAACTTCTCTCACCTCTACAGCCATGAGCCAGGTTGTACAGAGTTTGCACTTCTTCTCTATTGCCGGAGATCGCATACGGCCCCAGCTCTGAACTTTACGAACCGATTGTTCCGGAAGAGTCTGCTCTCACAGCTTGATACGCGAGAAGGATTTGTTAACTTCACTATGGTGATCTTATCATCCTAGCAATCGTTCCTGCCAGTTGGTTTTGTGCTCACGGCCATCTAGCCTTAATGACGTCGTTTAGTAAGGTTCAGTTCGCGTTCAAGCGGCTTCTCTGTAAATCTAAAAAGTGCCGTGCCGTGCACACATCGAAAATAGGTATAGGCTGCGTCAGTGATAGGAGTGTGAGTTAGGTAGTTTTGGTGGATCGATCTAGATTTCTATCGAGAGGTGTGATGCCCGTGCTCTCTACGGAAATCTATATCTGATATTTTCTCGACTTGGATCACAGATCGACTTTCGATCTTTCTCAATCACGCACGATTGTGTCGTTGACATTTTGTTAAGTATCGTTAACCCCATTCTTTTATAAATAATGCTCATCTGAGAGTTTTAAATGGTACTGAAGGAGTCCAATTCGTGATATGGAACTTGAACCTCGTTTCTGTTGTCTGGGAAGGAATTTAAAGTAATGTTTCTCCGCATGGTTATGTCTCTTCATCTTCGACAATCGGAAGTGATCTACACCACTCTGCTTCTACGGTGAGTTTCGACCTGAATACTGATGTCGGTATTGGCCTCGTCCTTAGGTGATAAATTGAGAAGGTTGCCTGCAGTATTCCATGTCGCAGAGTCTTTCTCGCTCATGGCGAAAGGAAATGCATATCCAAAGTCGAAATTGTTGATGGGTTTGCGCGCGTATATTACATGTCACACGTATCTTGGTCTCGAGAGAAGGTAGTCCACTAACATACACAAATGAGCATTGTACCCTGAATGCTGGTCGAACACACGAAGTAGCGTGTAATCTGAGGTCCTTCCACTACGTTTAATATATGGAAATGTTTATTTTTCTCTGTACGCCCAAGTCTGAAGATGTTATAGCAAAGTCACAAGCCTCATCCCATTTTTAACATCAATTTGCGCTTTTGTGCTAGTATTCGTTTACTGACCTGAATGCGCCTGAACATTGAATCTTACCGATGTTGTTGACCGTGAACTTCATTCAGTTCAGCTACGAGGTGCACTACATACCCAGGAAATCAGAAACTTTGTCGGACCCCCTCCTCTGTCAAGGTACGCACAGGTCAAATAAAATGTGGCTATAGGGTATACCAGAGAGCCTGTGGTAGTTTGAAGGTCACGAGAGTGTTTAGTTGAGCAAAGTTGTGGAGAAAACTGTTAGCAGCAGCTTTTTGAAGTTACGCAGGTGGACTGCGTGTCAAAACTAAAAGTGATAGGTATAATCTTAACTGTGCGTTGCCTGGCCAGGCACGGGAAAAATTTAGTTTCTGAAAGTCATGATGGTGGTTATGTTTGGCTATTTCACTTTACCTTCCCAGGAGTGTGTAAAGTGAAGAGCTGGTTGTCCGTCTGAACGATAACCTCTGTAAATGCTCAAATTCAAAGTTTGAAAAGCACGTCAATTCCCTCCTTCCAATCCACCTTCCTCAATTACGCGTTTAGTTTCATCCTAGCATCGGAAAACCCTTGGCGTGTACCTACCTCTTCTACCGAGTATAACAGAACCTAAGAGCAGATATTTTTGTCCGCTCTAGAAGTTGCTGAGAATTTTGAATCATCAAGAGGTTGTTAGTCTCAGCATGCTCAGCACTGTCTGAAGTTTACTGTTTCCTGTTATTTTACACGCAGTGTGCATGAAGAGTCTATATTCCCTGGTGTTTCAGAAGTAATATGGAAGGTATTGTTGTAGACTCGTACCCCAGCCTGAGGACTTACATCAGAGCACGAATATACTACATGAAGAGGCTTTTATGATGTGGGATGCGAGGTCATTTGCAGGCAATGATAGGAAAGTTGTTTGCTACGGTCGTAGACACAGCGTGTCTCCCCTTAGGCCCTGGGTACACTCAGGTGGTGTACAGACAGAAAGCTCCCTCTAGCCCACCACCTCGCAAACAATGTTTTAAAATCATTTTGAAGTTTTCGTGCTGCCCGGGCAGTTCTAGTTTTCAGCTGAGAGGGAGACAAATTTAAGTCCGACTGGCTTCACCTTGAAGGTGTCTTTGTAGGGGTCAAGAAGAACTTGAAGTGCTCTCCACGTCTTGGCTTTTTGTCCTCAAAGGAACTTGGCTCAGAACTTTCACGCGAGGATAATTTATTTTATCACACCTGTTAAACCTTCAGAAAATAGTGAAGTAGAATTGGCAGTCTCCAACTTAACTTGTGCTCTATCATAAGAGCCCGGCTCCTTCACGTTGTCGTGCGCAGTCTACGGGAGGCTTACGAATGAAGTAACAAACGTGTCCATCCTTATGCCGATCATACGCTGATGTCAGCAACCTTTCTGATATTCCATACGTGCAGGAAAAAACGCGAGGACAAAGTAAAATGACAAAAATATGTTAAGACCCCATAAAGTATAGCATGAGAAAAACCACACGGGTATTATGAGGCTAGTCCCGACAGCATCACAATGTGAAATTTTCTAGTGTATCAGACATATTCTAAAAAATGTGAATTCCATGGATACCCAACATGAGCGTTTTATTTGTATCTATTCAACTAACTAATGTTGTATATAAAGCAATCGGAATACATTAAAAAATCTAAATGTTACAATTTGGACTCATTAAGTGATACCTCTTTTATCTAAGATGGTAGGCAGTCTTGATCATGTTTAAAGTAGCATAAAGAGCTACATATAGTTTCAAGACTAGAAAACACCGACTTGATAGTCTCAAATTTGGTTGCTTTTGCTCCAAAACTCTAAAATTATTTCACATGGAGAATCTCAATAGTGACAATTATGTATTGACCAAGTATCAAAGTGCATTAACTCAAGTGGATTCTAAAGATAAATAATTGATCATTCCAAGTGGAAAATACTCACCCTGGCAAACACCAGGCCCCGTTTTGAAAGAGTATGCTTACTTTTCAAGCAGCTTCAAACCTTCAGTTGAAGACAAGAAGTCTCAACACACCAGTAGTCAACGAAGATGCAGCGTTAGAAGACTAGACTCAACAAAGTGACCCAAAAAAGAAAGCTATATATATTTTAATCTATATATTCGTACATAGCGGAGACCCAATGATTCTTCGACAAAGAGAGTAAGTGGCACACCTTTTCCACAGGAAGAAAAGCCCAACGCAACGGATCAAGAAGAAAGGGTAAAGGGCCAAGCCTCTGGAATTAGACCATTGGGTTCTCGCGCTGTACAAACTGGAACGAGCAAGACATGATGTCAGATTGCCCTCCCCACCACTTCTGTACTTTCGCTAAGTACACACACAGGCACCGAACAAATGAACTCTTCCCCACATGGTATAACGCAGTAACCATGTAGAAGCATGTACAAGCCCAACGTACCAACCATGTGAACCTTGTCCATTCAACTACGTTCACTCACCCTTCTCTGACAGGGTTCGTTCGCTTCCAACGGAGTGGCTCCACTCTGCGGTTAGCCATCGGAACCCCGGAACGCAATGTAGCAATCGGTGCTTGACAGCGTTCCGGGTTGCAGACACGGACTGCGTCGAGAACGTAGTCTGGGTTTGCGCACAGTGAATTACTGTACATAGTGGCTGCCACTGACGACGTCGAATGATCAGACGCAGGCAGAGGAGAAGACAAGAAGACATGCGAAGGGAAGGGCCGGTTGGCAACAAGCGGTCACTCACGTCGAGGGCACGATGGTGACAATGGTTCGCTAATGGCCCGATTAGAGGGTAAGCGTGCGTGGTTAGGCGTAAGTGTATGCACAAAAGGGGCAGAATCAGGAGACCGGGGACTGCTAATCAAGAGAATCGTGGAGGGCAGCGGAAGGGCGGCAGGCGCGCTTCTATATAATCAGGGCCGGAAATTAATTTAGCGGCTCGACTGCGACTGCCAGTGGCCAGTGGAGTGATGGCGCGAGCCCAGGTCCGAGGTGAGGGTGAGGGGCACCTTTGACCGAAAGTTCGCTTCGTGCGTTCGCTCCTTGGCGCTGCTGCCCGCAGGCAGAGGCAGGTGGGCACGCACGCAGCTTCAATGCTCGCATGCGCTCTCTCATTTGGCCCGCTTGCTGCCTAGATCCGGGGCTGGGCAGAGAGGGCCAGCAGCAGCAGCAGCAGCACCATCACCAGCACCATCCGGCCATCGAGAGCAGCAGGCCGAGTTGGGTTTGGGTTCATCGACGAGGTACGGTGAGGGGATGCGAGGTAAAGTGAATCGAGGTCAGGAGCAGGTATCCGGATCCGAGCCTCGTTGCTGTCAGGAGGAAGGGCATTTCGAAATCTGCGTAGAGTCGTGGAGGGACGATTGGAACCGGGTCAGGGAGATGCAGCACAGGTTCTTTGGGTGAGACTTGTGGGAAATTCTGGTCGGGCGGGGGCGGATCTGGATCGATTGATTGGTCGGTCGATTCGTTGATATGATAGATTGACGCAGGGGCCATCTTCGCGTGTCTGGGAAGGACAGAGAGAGGGAGAGGGAGTGAGCGACAGAGGGAGAGTGGGGTGGAGCGATTGGATTCCATATCCATTCGCTTGCGCTTCGCGCTATCAGATCTGTCCTTCCTCTTCTCTTCGCAGAGTTTGATGCTGCTGCCTGTTCGGATTTTTGGTGCCCTGTCGTGTCGTGCCGGAAGGGGTTGCTCGGAAGTCGCTGGCAATGCTGAGGTCTGGATCGTCGAGAGCCTTTCATGATCCACGAATGTGACACATTTCTTGAAGGTTGCTCGAAGGCGCGGCTCATAAGAGCTGCGGAAAGACGAGCTGTGATTTCAACCTTTCCCTGCGACTCAGCGGATGCTCTGGACTGTCTGCAGCTGATGTGGAACGAGTGGAGAGGAGTAGACGTGCAGGACTAGGGTTTTCTCGGCAGCTATGAGGACTTCCCATCCCCGGTCTCTACCAGAAAATCGACATTTCGTGTTGTAGGACGGGGAGAAGGTCTTTATTGGTTGACTTTTCCCATAGATCGAGAATCTTTACTCGGAGTGGACTGTGGAAAGCTTCGACTGCCCGCAACTGGCAGCTCAATTAGAACTCTTCGGAACATGTTACTACACGCTCTCCGATGATAGACTGACCTACATACCCATCGTGTATCTGACGCTCCAGACTTTTCAGACGGTGTCGAGTCTGGAGCCCGCTTGCGAGAATCATCAGAGCTCCAGAATTCGAACAGATTTTTCAGTCTGACCATTGTAGGGGTCAGGTGAATTTTAGCCTGGACTCTTTGGCCAATGAACACTGCCGTCTTGTTCATTCGTCGTCCCAGCGAAACCCATTGTTTAATTTCCCGGTCAATGTAGCTTGATTTCGCATACAGGTTATGTACGTGAATCACAGGTTAAAAATTTAGTAGTTGCAAGGGGGTTATCAGCAAGAAAAGATGGAAAATGGCAGTAATCCCCACGAGGGTATTCCAATGCAAGAAAATGGAGCTAGAACGTCCTCAGCAAGTGCGTCCGAAATGACAGCTGTCGATCTTTCATCACCAACTCATGCTCGGGCAACCCCTGTCGTTACTCCTGGAGCCAGCGGCTCCCCTCCTCGGGCAAGCACACCTACTTCCTCCCGGGCTCGCTTTCCTACTCCTCCACAGGTTATCCATCCTCGGTAAGATACAACTTCCTGGCGATAGAGCTATTTCAATACAGAGATCTCCAACATATTCATTCACAGAAGTGCTGATCGCTCTCACGTCCAAAGGACGAGTCTTTCTGCCACTTGAAATTGGCCGCAGTATTTTTGTCTTGCCTAATTACATTGGTTGAAAAAGTTGAAGGATTTGGCTTGGATAGGTATCCAAGAAGCTGTCGCGGGCATGAGAATGAATTTCCTAATTTTTTAAGCATTGCACCGAGCTCTTGTTAATGTACACTTCCAGCACTACAAAGTTCACTCTATATATCACACTTGTGATTGTTAATATGAAGACCCGATTGATATTGCCACAGAATGGTTGGGTTTATGTCGGACTTGAATTACTTGCATAGTTCAGACTTGAAAGTTTATTAGACGTGTGCAGCTGGTGTAATAAACTTTCTTCTATTGAAGATTAGTGCAGGTTTTATTCGATTGGTGCAAGAAAATTATAGGGCATTAAGATGGGAGATGTTTAGGTAGAGAATTCGAAAATTTAACCACGTATTATACAACTCTACTTGACCGTATCCCAAGAGATTTGCACACATCACCAGGATTTCAGGGACACAGCCTTGAAGAAAATAGATTTTTTGGAGGTCGCTAGCCTCTCATTCAATATGTCATTATTCTTACGTTCCTTATCTTCCAGGTTGCCCGTCATAAAAGCGCACAAGGTTATTGATCAGAGGGATGATAATGGAGAGGAGCTAACACCAACCCATGGAGCCTTTGAGCGGGTCCAGCGAGAGTCGAAGCTGGAGCTCTTTGAGGTGGATCCACTTGTTGATGTCAGGGGTCTCAAGAGGTATGCTGCCCTTGGAACTATGTTATTAGAGTCTCAAGACCAATTCCGCATCCTCAGACTTCGAATTAGCTCGTTTGTGAGTTTCACTGGGAGGTTTATATTCTCTACCCGGTCATGCTTTCGTTATGTAAAGCTGTTTTGAACCCTGATGTTGTGCCCCGCGAGTAAGCATACAAGTTGGATGCTAAACGTTCTGCTTACCGCAGTCATTGATATAAATATAATTTTTATTGAACACAATTCTTTGCTTTACTCGTTTGCAGCATGGGAGGGCAACAACCACCAGCAAGTGCCGAAGATGGCGAGGATGTCGCTATAACTCTTGGGAGACCAAGGGTAATGCTCTGATCCATGATTAATTAGAGACTCTTTGGTTGGAATTTATGGCCACTTTTAAAATCTTGCAGCCGACCCCTCGTCATCTCTAGTGGAAGATATATTCCTGCTCACTTCAAACAGTGACATGGCCAAGTTTTTTCATATCAAGCCCATCTTTTAATATAAACAACATACATCCTCAGCTACGGGTTTGAAAATTTCCTGCATTTTTTTTTGTGTATGAGTCCTTGCACCTTCTCCCCCGTCACAGTTTTACAGGTTTCACATCATCCTGAGTTTGCCAGAATGATCTGCAAGATCATTCGCCTTGTTCAATACGCAGTATCATCTATTGTCCTACAGTCCACCTCTCTGTCTCAGAGCCTCTACTGCACCTAGTGGTGCTCTACTATATGTCCCTTATAGCTTGCACTGTGACATCGAAGCTGCAGTTTCCAAAGGAAACATGAATTTTTGTTGGTTATGCACATCCTTCCTGAAGTCAACATTTGCAAGAACTTAAGCCCTGTCAGCCAATGCCTTTTCGTTTATGGCAGTTCACGAGTCTGTAGGTAACAGCTTAACTAGCTGCAAGAACTTCTTCTTACTGCTGTCAACAGTTCTATGTTTAAATTGAAACTAGACTGTGTTTGTCAGCTTTTTATCGTTCAGAAACGCATTTAAAGGTTTTACTCATCTCTTCATATTTTTGCATCAGTACCACAATCTGTGGCTGGAGGTGTTCATTTACGATGGATTATAATCACATCCATCTGCTTGCGCAGGATCCAGACGATGTCACTGGTTCTTACATTTCGCTTGTGCAGCCAAGGAGCGCAAAGCTTGGAACTCTTATGGGAGTATTCATACCATGTCTTCAAAACATTCTCGGAATTATTTTCTACATTCGTTTTTCCTGGTGAGTTTTCCTGATCGACGAGGTTTTACATTTCGTTTCGTATTCATTCCATCCTTATGGTACTTAACAAATGGAATGTATCCCATCTATTATTTTTTGGTTTCTTTCCTATGTGAAGTTTTGTATCTCCTACGATGTAAGATTATTAGTCTTCGCTGGTCAAATTTACGTACACATTGACATGTTCCCCTTAAGACTTCAAAATTTTCCCACTTAGGACCGTCTTTTTATTTCTTGCGCTTAAGGACAAGAAGCAATTGTGAAATCGTCTAGCTGCTGCTCACATCACCCAGTCATACTGATTGGGTTGAATATACGATCAAATAGAGCACCAGATTTAACTGCATGTATCTGTACCTTCACATTATAACTGCTTTCTCAGCTAAGAAATGTTTTACTCATCATGAATGAATTTCAATGGACTAGGATACCAAGAGCAGATTGATCTAAGAATTCGATTATTGATTTGATTTGCTTGTGAGCTAAGATAACCTATGCATTAATGAATGCAAGGTTATCTTTATAACCCGTTCAGGTTCGCTTCTAGGGTGCTTTTGGGTATCTTCTGAATCTAGCGTAGTTTACTTAGTAAGCGGACATGCTTTGGAGAAAACTAGAATTATGTTACTGCGCAGTCTTCTTGGATGTGAATGCCATGTTCTTAACCGTCATAACAGAGAACACGACTTGTTGGTACTGATCGTTGCGATCATGTTTTAGCCAAATGCCTTATCGGTAGATCCCTCTTGACGCACCTCTACATTCACATTTCAGACGTGCAGATTAAAGATTTTTTTCGTCTTTTCTTCTTCAAGTAGAATAAATTAAGGCCCTCGATGTCTGCTGTTTTATATACAACGCATGTGTAACTTTTCTCCGCTTTATATACACGTTTTCTGTCCAGACACTAGACATTATCTTACTTTAAAGTTGTCAGTAGTGATTGTCCCTGCCGGAAATGGGTCGTGGAATTTAATCTTTCACTCACTTCCAATATGTCTCTCACTTGTCCGCTTCACAGCGGAGTTCTGGTTTCCTCCTTTTTGAGTCTTAACAAAATCTGAGGTTTTATTTTTTGCCTTGTGCAGGATAGTAGGTATTGCAGGGGTTTGGCAGAGTCTTTTGTTAGTCTCCCTGTGTTGCTTCTGTACCTTCTTAACGGGGCTATCTCTGAGTGCAATAGCTACAAATGGAGCTATGAAGGTACTCTGTCGTTACTTTTGGGCATTCTTCAGCTCTTTGATTGTCTTAGAAACAATTAGCTAACCGGAGCTATATCGTAATGAATCTAGAAAGCGAGATAGTGATTACGGATGCGCTTGAGCTGGTTTGGGGAATTGCTCAGTCGTTTTTTATGCACGACTCTCAGTGGGCAAATGACGTGACTTTGCGAAGTACATGCCTTTTCAAGAGGCGAGTCAAAACCACTCAAACTTCAACGATTTTAAGAAGAAATCAAAAGCAATGAGCATGCCGACTTGATCCAAGAATCTCGGGCGGCCCCTTACTATACATACCTTCTGAGCTGCTGCAGGGTGGTGGCCCGTACTACCTCATTGGGCGTGCTCTCGGTCCAGAAGTTGGTGTCAGCATTGGCCTGTGTTTCTTTCTTGGCAATGCTGTTGCAGGATCTTTGTAAGTTTCTGCTTCGTTTCCGATAGGCTAATTTACAAGCTGAGATAGCAAATGTACATTTATATTTTGAATCGGTTCTGTTTCTTAGTTTCAAGCATTACAGGTGATTCATAGCTAAAGTTTGATTGTTTTGCGATTCTACGTTGTTTTGCTTTTAACTATCTCAACGCAATCCATGATCAGAAGAGAGCTTTGAGCTAACAGTTCTCCTATCGTGTTGCTTGCCGCTACCTTATCTTTTTAGGTACGTTTTAGGAGCTGTGGAGACGTTTTTAGATGCTATTCCAGGAGCTGGCATGTTCAAACGTAAGGCTTCTTTTGGGTTCGGAGTTTGATATATCAGAGTGGACTACTGGTTGGGCTATACATGGATATTCCAGTTTCATGCTACACTCTAGAGCTGTCCACTTCTGCTAATTAAGGACATCGCCTTAAGAAACTGCCGTTAATTTCTGCTGCGCAGTCTGTATCTATGTGTGAACCGGACAGTTTGAAACTGGGTGCATTGTCAATGATGACTTTCTACTCATCGAAGTTGGTTGTCTTCGAATATCATGAGGATATATTTGCTTGGGAGTGTTACAGTTCTCTGTTCTGAAGACTATATCTTTAGACCGGAGAACTTTTGTTGCATTAATTTGTGCTAAGTGGTACTTCCCTTCTTACAGCAAGTTTGAATAGGAGATACGCGCATGTCAAAACTCTGCAAATAACTTATGTGTTTGTATATCGTTTATGATACAGAACATGTCACAGAGCTGGCATCGTCGTCGTTATCACCAACATCTCAAGTACCAGAGATTTTGAAAAATCCTAGTCTACACGATCTGCAAGTGTACGGTGTCATTGTGACTGTAATATTGTGCCTCATTGTATTTGGTGGAGTGAAGATCATCAACAAAGTGGGACCAACGTTTCTCATTCCTGTACTCGTCTCGGTGGTTCTCATCTTCGTTGGAATCTTTACAGCTCATCGCATCGACGATAATCGTGAGCGTCGCTAGCCTTATGTGTGACCCAATAATCAAGTCATACTAGAGCATATTCTTCGTGCCTAAGCGGAAGTGCTCAACTGCAGCATATGTCGTATGTGTCATACGATATCTTCAGCTTTATGGGGTTTATTTTTCGTTGAAACTGACACAAACTTCTGTACTGTACAGCGGGAGTCACAGGTTTAAGATACAGCACACTTACGGAGAATTGGGGATCCCAGTATCAACGCACAGATCGGGCCGGTATACCATCACCGACCGGTTCGATTTATTGGAATTTTGAGTAAGTTCATTTCATTTCATTTCTTAAAGCTGGTATCGATCACTGGTTCATTTACCTTGATATGATGGGTGGGCATAATCTGATTGCTTGCATTCTATCTCACTCTCTATAACATGTCCGCCGTGCAGTGGACTACTGGGTCTGTTTTTTCCTGCTGTGACGGGAATCATGGCTGGGTCCAACCGCTCAGCTTCTTTGAAAGATACTCAGCGTTCTATTCCAGTCGGAACCCTTGCTGCTATTGCTTCCACAACAGTTTTGTATCTGGTCTCTATATTCATGTTCGGAGCTGTTGCAACGAGGGAAGAACTTTTGACAGATCGGTATGTCACACTTCTACATCATGAGGAGTGAATGCTCAGTTTGTTGGTATTGGTGCTTTGTATTTCGTGTCTTTACATCTGTGCCTTGGTTTCAGCCTTCCTAATTTTCAAGCTCGGCAACCCACCAGCTCCAGTTGGTTCTTTGAGAAAATAATTGTGACTAAGATATGACATCGTTGTTTTTCAACAGATTGCTTACTGCAACGCTGGCTTGGCCAATACCTGCAGTTGTGCAAATTGGCATCATTTTGTCTACCCTTGGAGCAGCCTTACAAAGTCTTACAGGAGCTCCACGTCTTCTTGCAGCTATTGCTAATGATGACATACTGCCAGTTTTGAAATACTTCAAGGCACCTGATGGCACAGAACCACATCTGGCAACACTTTTTACTATGCTTATCTGTGCTGGCTGTGTCATTCTTGGGGATCTTGATCTGGTTACTCCAGTGATCACTATGTTCTTTCTCTTGTGCTACTGTGGAGTTAACTTGTCTTGCCTCCTCCTTGACCTGCTGGATGCTCCGAGTTGGCGACCTCGGTGGAAGTATCATCATTGGTTTTTATCCCTTATGGGAGCTGTCGTCTGTATAGGTAATTTGCTTGTTCTTCAGCATTCTAGGCCACGTTCGCTCGGCCATGGTTCGGTCCTGTTTTCTATGGCTTGACGATTACCGGGCATCGGGTTATGCCTTACATATAGCCCCTATGGTTGTGACTACCAGTTCTGTACTGTTCGTTCTCCTCGCATGTTTAGCCCTTGTGGTTGATCTCTTGTTATCTCATTTTTTTTCCTGCGAACCTCTTGCGTTGTATTTGTTTAATGAGCTCTTCCAACAAGTTGAAAGTGTTGAGGTTTGCATTAGGAGAGATTCTTCGTGCATACTATGTAGGTTTGAGATTTGACTATCGTTAAGGATCCACAGAAGCAGTTTACTTATGTATCTGAAACATGATCTTCTTTCTGTGCAGCAATTATGTTCTTGATCTCGTGGATCTTCACCATTATTTCACTCCTCTTGGCTAGTCTCATTTATTGGTATGTGAGTATCAAAGGCAAAGGTGGTGACTGGGGAGATGGTTTCAAGAGTGCCTACTTTCAACTTGCTCTTCGGAGTCTACGTTCTCTTGGTGGTATGTCTTCTAGACACTCACCGTGCTGGTCACTCACTTTATTGCAAGTACTTGAAAGTAGTCAAGTTCACAATGACGTCAATGGCGACGGTTGTTGTTAATATACCTTTCAATAATAAGCACACAAGTGCTGGTTGCAACGTGTTCTTCTTTACAGTAGGCATCATTAACTTAGTGGGAAATTTCGGTAGGTAACTGAAATGTTCTTGCAACACTGTTAGATATTAATAACGCGTGTATTTCTTATTCTATGCAGCCACTCAAGTTCACCCCAAGAACTGGTACCCTATTCCTCTGATTTTCTGTAAGCCTTGGGGAATACTTCCTCCAGATGTGCCTTGTCATCCAAAGCTTGCAGACTTTGCTAATTGCATGAAGAAGAAGGGACGAGGAATGTCGATATTTGTATCAATAATGGAGGGAGATTATAAGGAGAAGGCAGATGATGCCCGTCAGGCATGCAGGCTTTTGAGCACGTATATTGATTACAAAAATTGTGAAGGGGTTGCCGAGGTCATGGTTGCTGTCAACATGTGGGAAGGTTTCCGTGGCATTGTGCAAACCATGGGTCTTGGAAACTTGAAGCCGAATATCGTATGCATGCGTTATCCAGAGATATGGAGAGAGCAAAGACATAGTGAAATTCCAGAAAACTTTGTGCGGATCATTAACGACTGCTCTACTGCGAACAAAGCAGTAGTCATCGTGAAAGGTCTTGATGAGTGGCCAGGGGAGTTTCAGAAGCAGTATGGAACAATTGATCTGTACTGGATTGTCCGAGACGGTGGTCTTATGCTGCTTCTCTCCCAGTTGCTACGTGCAAAGGACAGTTTTGAGAGCTGCAAAATTCAAGTCTTCTGCATCGCCGAAGAAGATACAGAAGCAGAGGAGCTGAAAGCGGATGTGAAGAAATTTTTGTACGATTTGCGAATGTTGGCGGAGGTAATTGTCGTGACCATGAAATCGTGGGAAGCCCATCAAGAAGACCAAGAAACCACGGAGACTGGGACTGAAGATGCTATGGAGGCATTTGCTCAAGCAAGAAAACGCATCGCCACTCGGGCAGAAGCTCAGAGGGCTATGGCCAGAGATCAAAATATCTCGGAAAGTGTTCCCTACAATGAGGAGAAGGTGACCAAGTTTTTGTACACGACTTTGAAATTGAATTCCATAATATTGAGGTACTCAAGGATGGCTGCGGTGGTGTTAGTTAGTCTTCCGCCACCCCCTCGACATCATCCTGCTTACTGCTACATGGAGTACATGGATCTTCTAGTGGACAGCATACCGAGACTGCTCATGGTTCGCGGATATAGAAGAGATGTTGTAACCATTTTTACTTGAGTTAGTAGTATATCAGGGCATTACATAATGCTTGTACACAGCCATTAATTTGCTAAGGTCAGGTACAGATAAACTTGGAGAGGTACTTAGATCCATGTCAGAGCTAGGATCAGGACTCAATTCTCAGCTCAGGTACATGCTATACTGAAAGAATCATCACAGAAAATCTTCTGGTTCCACCTTGGTCGTAGCTATCTTCTGGCTCCTCTCCTGAAGCAGGCGCCTCCATCCCACACATGGGTGTATACTCCTGTAGATGTATTGAACATTCTTTTTCATCCAGTCATTGGATTGATATGACATCCGTAGCAGATTCTGACTAGATGGTCGTACGAGGAATAGTCAATGGTGTCGATTGGGTTGCAAATTGGGATATGTTTGCAAGCTTCATCTGCATAACTAGAATCATTGCCACTAGTATGAGGGTCAGAAGGAATGGGATAGTAGCGCATCTGACATTGCGAACAATCGAGCATATTTTGTCTCGGTTGTTTCTTGAGGAAGAGCCCATGTTGAAGTAAACTTAGTTCAAAGTTTCAACTTTCTGGCCTCTTTGTTGAACTGGTGGGGCTCGGTGGAAGTCATGGTAGCATATATCTGAAGTCCTTTTTTAAGACAGGGTTCAGTTTGGCAGAATACTGGACGGAGTTGAGGATAATGTCAGGTGACTTATTTTGTACATTTTGTGGCGAGATGGAACCTTTTGTGATGCCCAATGATAATCACAAATGTCTGAAGGCAGGAAAGCTCACTACGGATTTGCTTGTAGCACGCAGAGCCATTTCTGAATAACAGAATATCCTTCTCCCGGTTTTGAAGCCACTTCTACCCTTAGGTAAGGACGCCAGTTGCTCCGATCGAAGTCCTTGGGAACCAAAGTTTATTTGCTAGGACTGGAAACCTTAAAGGTATGTTCAGTTTTCCTGTACTTGGTAGCTGTCTAATACTGGCTCTTTGACAATGGCAGTGGCAGAGTAATGTAGTAGTCATTCTTGAGTTTATTTGGAAACCTAGTCCCTCTGATCACAGATGTTGCATCTACCTAGCAGAGATCTATATCTTGATTGGGAGTGACGATGGATGTTTGTGAATACTTGACACCAGATAAAGGCATGATTGTCACGTCGTATGAAGTGTTTCATGTGTCTGGTAATTGGTTGGAGCCCTAGGTAAGAAATTTTAGTCTGTATGGGAGGCGTGTAAGAGCCGAGGAGATAAAGGATGTGCAATTTATTGCAGTCATGGTGGTACTGATAAGTAACTAAGGGGGATGACTACAAAGGCTGTTATAAATCTTATGTTGAGGATATGACTTTCATGCCTAGAAGAAGAATTGAAGGTTCACTCAAATTTACAATTAACAAAGATAGAACTTAAATTAAATCTTCTAAGATGAGCCAGCTAATACCAAATGCTTATAACACCAGAATAAAATGACAAGTTTTCTTAATCTTGATTCATGCCTAGAGGGAGAACTTCTGTCTTAAAATGATTTGAGGATTCTTTATCGAAAGAAAATAAACTAATATATTGTATTGTATTATGAGCAAGATTCTCTTCGACATGCAATCCCAGTTCCGAATCTGTAGAGTTTGTAAGCATAGTTTTGTAATGAATATGTTTGTGCATCTTAAATATGAACTAGTCAAAATAAGAATATCTATATGTAAAGAGTGTATTTTAAAATTACATTGAGGGAAAGGTAGATAAATGAGAATGTATATATAGAAATAAATTGTTTGTTGCTTTTGATCAAACCAAGAATGGTTTTACGAATGCCATAATCCTTTATAAAACATGACATAGCTCTACCTTGGGAAGTCTCAGTTTGCACGACGGAGTTCCTTGCACACTATCCGTATCTTAATATCTACTAACAAAGTCACGTAATGCCAAAGTCTGAGTCTATAGCGTCCAAAGCTCTTCGGCTTATAACTTACGCGGAATAATCTCTGGACCAATAAATAATATAAATTTAAGGAAAAATCACTTAAAACTTTATGTAATTTTTTTTAGACATTATACTTTCATTAGATTCAAATATTATTGAAATTTTCTTTTAATGATATTTACGTAAAATCACAAATAACATTCCTCTCTGAATCATAATTATATTTTAATACAGATTTTTTTCTATGACTGATATTCATACTTTTAGCACAAAATGTTAAGAAAATGCAAAACAGAATCTTTGTTGGACCACATAGAAAAATCATGATTGACATTTTGGTTTCACTTCAACAAACTTGATATGCACATCTGCGTAACTTCTTTATTCCAAGCAACAGATTACCATAAATGATTATAAAAAAACAAATGAAAACATGTTAAACCTTTCCGAAAGCATTAAAAGTAAACTCAAATTTTTTATCCTATATATTATATTACTCTTTTAGCCAGATGTCACCATGAGACAATCATTATGTTCCTTACATGTCACATATGATCATCTTATTGAATAAGACTTATCCCATTTAAATAGTTACTAGTCGCACAAAAATGTACGTTTTAAAGTACATGGTTTACTACTGCAATTAATAAAAATAGGTTAGGTTATGCACTAGCAAGGTATGTAGTTGAATGAAATACAATGCTACACCTGCGCTTGACCTAAAATTGACCTAAAGGTGTGGCGCCTTGGCCAATTTTAGGAGACAACTTTAGGTCAAGCGCAGGTCAATTATAAATTGACCAGAGGCTCGCATTTAGGAGAGAGTGTAGAGCTCTAGGGCTCATAGACGAGGCATACCGTCTTCCGCGACAACCAGGCTCTGCATTAAGGAAAAAGTGTAGGCCTCCAGGGCTCATCGAAACGGGCTCGTCGACGTTGGCGTGAGAGTGCGGAAGTTAGCCTAGAATGAGAGTAGAGTTTGTAATTGCAACATAAGCTCACAAATTGAGTAGAACATCGATCAGTTACTTGGCGTCAAAAGTGAATACACTGCCACAGTTTCTACAATCTACAATGACATTTGAAAGATAGGATACATTTATAATTAGTCTGGAGGTTGAATAATTTTTTGAGCAGATACAGTTTAGTAACATTGCCTAAGCATGCAACTTCCGACTCTAAAAAGTGTTGCAAATAGCAATACTTTCAGGTGAATGCCAATGTCTTGAGAAGCATTACAACAATCAACACACAAATGACACCGTATTCTGTCATCGCAATATATACTTTCAATGTCACTCGATTTTACTTTCCTAAAATTCACATGGACCCCGCTCATTTCAGTCATCGAGTTGCCTGAATCTGAGCGTAAACGCGCTCACTGTGAATCCACTTCAGCCTCCTGTCGGAAATTAGGATCATCACTACTGCGGTGTGTATTGTTGGTTTAGTTGTTTCAGAACCAACATATTCGGGAGACTCAATCTTTTCATCATGACTGCATAAGCAATCGATTGACTTATATAAAAAATCTCATAAGATTTGTTGTCATCATGAAATTTTTTGTATCTATGTTATGTTTAGACATATACATTTAAAAACCATTCATTTTGTTCATGGGATCGCACAGAATGCAAGGAAAATTATATTCTCTAATAATATCAATTATGTATAAAGTTGTTAGAAGTTGACTGTGTTGGTAAAATTTAATCAATTTGATGAGAATTAATTATAAAAGTTAAATCTTATTATATACAAGTATGACAAATATCTCCTTAATACAAATTTGACTTTCGAATATAATAAACTATAAGGTGTATGAATTTATTTTCAATCTTGTTTATGTATGTGTTTCTTTGCCCTTACCTAGTGTCCTTCCGCACACATCCATATGTGAAAAATAGAGAGCTAGCCCCGACTAGAGAAACTATTGTACAAGGCTTCTCCGTGTCGTTTAATCAGGCAGGGGATACATTGTAATGCAAATCTGGGTTCTCGAGCCGCACTCAGTGTTACGTCGAGCGTACCGTTTTGTACGTCCAACAGAGATCTTGATACGAGAACAGAGATCTCGCTTGTAATCTGCAAGTTGCTGGGCTGTCAAATATAAATGACAGCGCATGGAGGACGACTCGGTCTACTGGGCCGATGTTTCGGGTTGGACAGATCAGAGATCATAGCGTTTGATTGTTCTCCATACATGATTTGTCGAAACTTGAGGGCGTGGGTCGAGGCTTGAGTTCGTCACTCCAGCACAGCAGAATAGTGATTGGTATATAAATAAATTCCTTGCCGTCCATGGCCACGGTACACGAGACGGCTGCTGCAGCCCATATGCACGAAAACCCATAGGAGAGTCTCTGGTGTCTGAAAACAGAACACGCACTTGATGAGGACGCCATACATGTACACAGTTATACTGAAGATACATATTTTTTGCCATTGCTGAAAGTCTCTTCGTAATTTGTACAGCTAGATTTCGTATAGATACAAGACTAAGAAGCTTTCTGGATGTGCTAGTGTGTTGGAATAGAAAGACCTGGGACCTGGAAAAAGAGATAATCTATGGTGCTGAAATGTCTTCTGATGACAAAAAATCCTCAATGTGAGGTATAATCATCAGAAGCAAGCCAGATCCCCATGCTTTCTATTGTTGTTCTTCGTCGAGTGATCTAGAGGTGTCTACTGAGTTGGTCCGCTTGTACATGTTTAACCGCGACACCATCAGGAAGGCTACGAGATTCACTACTGCAAGAACAGCCAGAGCCCAGTAATAGTAGTCCAGGCGACTCTCGTTCACGTTGTTCTGGAACCAGCCGGAAGAGGATGAAGTTGAGGTAGCTCTGTGAACTGCTGAGGCAATAGCACTGCTGCCGAAATATCCGATCCCTAGAGTGCTCAGGGTCATCGAAGTGCCCAGCGACTGCATACTTTTAGGAGCCTCAGTGTAGAAGAAATTGATCTGGCCAGGATACATCAGAGCTTCTCCGAGTCCCATGAAAAAATTCTGTGGGGTGAACCAGAACATGGAGAACGATTCTATAGGAGTTCTAGGGTGTAAATCCATGTTTTTCTCGTGGACTACACCGAGTCTTCTCCGTTCGACGAGTGCAGCGCATGTCATTGCTAGAATGGGAGTAACTAGCCCCAGTCCTAATCTCTGTAGGTTAGTAATGCCGGTCGGATTTCCCGTGAATCGTCTGGCAAAAGGTACGAATACTCTGTCATATATTGGCACAGAGATCAGAACAAATATTGTTTGCATCACACCGACGACGGCCGGTGGCACTGTAAAATGTGGTCCTAAATGCCTGTTGCTTGTCCAAGCTTGACTTATTGTAATGGTTGCAAACTGCGCTTGCACAGTCCAAAAAAACCATGTCGTTGCTGCAATGGGAAGAAGACGTATCATGAGCTTGGTATCTTCCACCTCTGCTACCGAGGCGAGCCTCTGCGGTCCATGCGTGGTATCTCTTTCTTGTAAGATTGCTGCCTTGTCAAGCCACCTGTTATACAAATCAGACATTTGTGTTAACTTCTGAAATTCTCCACAGTTGCTTGGTTATGGTATAATACATCTACGGATCTCATTAACATGACTGCTTCCAGCAGTGCGTTCAGTGAATTCATCGGAAAAGATTACCAATCGTACAAAATATTTTTTCACGCTTGGAACAGGTTTTATCTCCAATGAATTTCTGAAGCAGTGGCTATGAGTTGAATGTCTTTTGAAGATCCATGTATGCATGTATGCGAAAAATCATTGGATTTACCGACAGGCAGAAACCAGGGAGTAGAGCGAACAAGCACCTCATGTTCTGAGTCTGTACGATTTCCAACGATTGCTGACGAGTTTCGAAAAAGAACCCAGAATTGTCAACTGGGTGCGGCAGATTACGCCTATGGACTGCACTTACGAAGACTCTGCCCAAAGTAGACAGCGGACTCCCTTGAGGGATTTTATACCTGTAGAATGTTCTTAAGGCAACAAAGATAACTACAAACAGGTACACGATCATGAGCTGTGTGCCGAATCCCCACGACCAATTTTTATCTTGAATGTACACTACAATTACCGACATCAATGCCCCCATCATAATGAAGAAATAAAACCAGTTGAAGTAGGTTGATAGCTGCGCAGCTTCTCTGGAATCCTCTCGATCGAATTGATCCGCACCAAAAGCTGACACGCTTGATTTGACGCCGCCAATGCCCAGAGCAATGACGTAAAGGCCTACATAAATTGTAGCTAGATTTGTTCCTTCTGCTGCAGAGCAGGTTTCAGGATCTAAACACTGGAACTTGTCTAGTGACGCGCTGACGATGAGAATGCCATAGCCCTTCAAAAAAATCAAAATTTGTCAGAACGAAAGGCAGTTAGAAAATGCACAATGAGTATGGCATGATTAGAAAATGCTCTTATTACACAAGAAGTTGGAGAAGCCAAGAACTTACCACACATTGGATGAATCCCGAGATGAAAATAGTGTGGAAGCGCCCCCAATAAGTGTCTGCTATATAACCTCCCAACAGGCTTAAAACAAATGACGTGCCAATGAAATTTGTGGTCATGTTCATTGCGTATTTAAAATCTAAATGCTTTTCGTAGAACAAGTAGCTGAAAATGTTGGAATATATTGCGAAGCCTGCAACCCTCTCTGAGAACTCGGCCCCTGCAATGATGACATCCCGTCCATCGTTAATTTTGAGTTCAACCATCAATTTAATCGTTCTGATAGAATTGTAAAGCAGCTACAATATATCGCTAGCTTGTCATAAAAATTTACTACTGATCGCCGGGAAACTTCGATAGTCTAACGAGCGTAAACATTGGAATTCCATGACCTGCCGAAAGGACTGTGCTTACCCAAAATGACTGGAGTGATTTTGAAACCACCGGTGCGCAGCTTGTTCGCTGTCTGTCCATGGTAGTCGACTGTTCCATCCCTGGTGAGCGGTGAGTCAACCAATGCAACCTCAGTGCTGGGAAGCTGCGCCTGTTGCAGAAACATGAGATTCAGTCCTTGATCACAATGAAGACTAGTAAGAAAACATTTCAATAATCTTGGGCCATGGCCAGAACAATCACTGTGAGCTCAGATGCCAAGAAGGTTGAAAAGGAATTGGACATATATGCAGCGGGCTAGTTTGATTTCTGACAGTAGCGCGTTCGTACCATTTAAAAGTTGTAGCTCAATGTCTTTTGCGAGTTGTAGACTCTTGAGTCTTTCCTCCAGTCTATAATGAATTGAGATTTCCGATTCGTGGATACATTTACGATATAACCTCAATTGCCACAGCCGTGCGTATATTTAGAGCAGGATTCAAGACGGGCTGCACACTCATCACTAGCCCTGTGGGTAACTTCCGGTCTCGTATTTTTCGACTGTCCGAAAGGCAAGTCGAAGGTTGTGTTTTGAGAAGAAGCCTTGAAAGCATGCAACCCCTACATTGATGGAATTCGCAGCCGAGTTAGTAAAGTTATCGCACAGTCAGTGCATCAGACTAGCGTTTTTCTGAAAGCATAACTGTGTTCGATCCTTCTCTTATCAAACATCCTAGGCATGTTAAAACAGCTAAATCAGGCAGAAGCGATAATAGCCAATTTAATGCAACAGAAATAAACACTCCAGTTCGGAAGTGCGCGGAAGGAGTGCGTACGTTGAAATTGCAGACGAAATTGATGGAAGATTAATAATAAGTAAGTAGGAAGCTTCAGATAGCGCGCAATGCCAATCAAAACCGTACTAGTCTATTGATCACACTCTTCACGAATGTCCGCAAGGCAATGCTCGAGCGAAACAGCGCTTGAGCAGGTGTAATGCGGGTTATCTTCTCAGAAGCAAAAACCGGATGTTAGACCTTGTTGGTGGATCTCTCTTCCGAGATAGAAAACTGTCAGACATCACGTCGTCATTGGTTTTATACACTCGATGTGGAGGACTCCAGTCCGAGTAGATTCAGTCAGATCTGGTGCGGCTCTACAGCTGAATGACAGCAGTCGTTGTTTTTTAACCCTGGACAGACTGTTTGCAGAGACCAGACTTGACCAGCCTTATGCATGGACCCGATGAGCTAGCTAGTCAGGACATCAATGCTCATAACTTTTCTTTCCACACGTATTTAGTTGGTACAGTCATCCCATGTAGCGAATCAGGAATGTGCCAGAGAGTGCCAACAAGACTGCGGTCGAAACTACAGAAGGGCCTCACTCGTAAGAAGACCGCATGACCTTTTTGTCATGACCATAATTCAGCGGCATACCAGAAGGAGGAAAACGCGAATGCAGGCAGGTTCTCTTAATAGCAAGACGTCGTTCTCCTTAACAGAAGCATATCCAGAAATTCACTTTTCAATTTGGTATCCACTTGCCTCCCTCGGGTTCTTTGTTCACTTGTAATTATGTAGGAATCCGGTTCTAAAGGTAGTAATATTGTACGATCACTACAGGTGACGAATATTATCAGGATGAAGAACTAGACAGGTGTTAGTGATTTATTAGCTGTAACTGGTTGTGGAAAGTGTCTTTATTATGCTGACCTTAGCAATATGCTGGTTGTGGAAAGTGTCTTTATTGGGCTGACCTGAGCAATTTGCTGGTATGCAGGACATGCCCGGTTCAATCGGGCATCATAGAGACGAACTCAAAATACTGCTGCTTTCGTTTCCACCTTTTAATTTCAAACTCCAATCATTGCTGTCACCAGAAGCTCGGTCGATGACGATTAAGTCCCCACAGAACGTGGAGTTCCGTACTTATAGATCTGATAAGCTTACTTTATCGCCACTTCGTTTTCCAGGAGTAAACGTGATGTACGATTGTACATCACGTTTACAGTATAGCTTGAATCTTTGAGCCACCTGTTGCATCAACAACTGAACTCGATATCCGATTTAATAAATCTAAGACATATCTAATGATGATCAGATTTCAGAGAAGCCCGGAGTGAGTGTTTGTACTTCATGCTCTCCGTAGGTTCTCCCTGTTAGCAACCTGGATACTGATGTTTTAGTCCATAATGTGTTCTTCAAGAATAGCTGATGAGATTTGCAATCTTGTAAGCCGCAACTTTGTCTGGATTTAATCGGAGTTTGAGTATGATTTACGCGGCGAGATATGGTTAAGCTAAAGTTGTGAGTTTGCCTGATTTACTAAACCTTGAATCTTGGTTAAGAGACGAGAAGAGCCCATGCAACAAGCATCAAGTATGTACGCTGTAGACACTGAGGCTGTATATCTAGCAAGATGTCTTGAAAGGCGCCTCTTGGACATATCCAGTTCTCGATTTGGTCGGTGGCTTTCACTTTGTGTCTAGTGATGTACCTAGCATGTAATCTAAACCATCTCGCTGACCCTTGTCTTGTCCGTAGCTGAAGACCATAATGCTTTGGCAATTACAAGCTGGTCGTCTATGACTGCAATAAAAACGTGTGGAATTCATAAGAGACACATCGTACCTCGAATATGCACAATCGTAGATTGTGTGAGTACTGTTACCCTCTTCGAAGCCTGCCCGAAATGTCTTTGCTGATTTAGAATCTTTCCTGATTCCAGCCATGGATGCAGCAACAATTGCAATACAAGACTGTAGACTGGATGAAAGAGATCAGTGTTTCTAAACACTGTTTGCTACTAGAAAATGTTTGACCAACATGAGTTGTAGATTGGAATATGCCTCCTTACTTAGTACAGTCACTTACACAGGTTTCGGACTCGGGACACCTATACAACTCAATCTTATGATACTAAAACCTCAAAAATGAAATCTAACTACCAAATCTGATTCAGACGATTTAGGTCCCTTAATTATCTACTGTTTGTTCCACTGTTTGCTCTTACTGCAAAAATTTGTTGTAAGCTGCGTCTTGCTGATTTGCTGTTCTTCTACACTGAGGCCCCTGAAAGTGTGCAGTCCCTAGCCACCTCAATGAGCTTGAGGTATACATGGATACATTGAAGCTTCTCCTAGTCCCATGAAGAAGAACCGCGGTGGAAACCAGAACATACAAAAGGATTTGATAGGTACCGTGGGCATCTATTTCTTGTGCTTATCGTGGAAAAGCCTTGCTCTTCTTGCTTGCACTAAGATTGAGAGAATGGGAGTTACTTATTCCAACTCTGGGATGACACGCACCGAATCAGGACCGAGTGCCCAGCCATAAGTAGTGAGAACAGGCCAGAGTCGAGAGGGTCTCCAAGAGGCTCTCGTTGGCCGATGGTAGTGCGAAATTTGGCCTAACTGTCTGTTGGCTGTGCGAGATACGGTCGCTGTGATGGTAGGAAACTGCGCTTGAGTAGTCAGTAGAACCAGGTCGTGGCCAGCAGCCGTATCGTCAATTTTGTATCTTCTACTTCAGTAAGAGAAGCGTATCTATATTAGTATCTTCCGTCGATGATGTGAATCATCAATTTGTATGGTTGCTGGCTTACTGTGGAGCCATGTGAGAAAGCCAATCACCACATCTGAACAGTTTTACCTTTCGATGCACACGCATCTCTGAGTGGTTATGCAGATTATTGAATCTTGTTTCGAACTCTAGTACCTTGCTAAACGCATAGTACAAAGAAATTTATAATAGCTTTGAGCAAAATTCTTACAGAACGTTCTTCTTCGAGAAAGACTGCTGCTGGAGATCAGACCTGGCAAATTAAGAAAATTTGCTCTGAAAAGCATACTTGATTTAGAACATTGGAGGACACGGACACTAAAAGCGATGTTCGTAATTGAGTATTTTGAGCTGTATTTTGAGCATATTGAAGAGTCCTTAACATGTGAGACCCATAGACGACGCTGCAGTAGTCCGAAGTGTCGTTCCTTCAAAATCTGATTGACATCACACCACCTGAGTTAGATGAGAACGTCAACCTCAACCGATAATGCGATGCAGAGGATCGAACAGGCGTAACTTTGCTTGATGCTTAATGAAAGCTCAACCCTGGCTCTTATACAGGCGAAGTCTTTTATTTCGAAGAGGACGTAGGAAACATGTTGCCGTGAGTGCAGGCAGACAACAACTACCTTTATAATAATAATAGAGACGAATAAGGTGTACTATTATAAGAAGTTCTTCCAACATTATTCTGTACGTAAAGCGCAGAAGCATAGCCTATTAGCCTCACAACAATCACAGGAGTTCATCATGCACAGTGTTGCAGGATCTACCCTGTACAAAAGGTTAGAGCAGTAGCTAGGGCACATTTTAAGAAAGATAAGAAAGGATCCGGTCCATCTGAAGAGTCTCAATTAGTCCATCCTGGAGCAAGCGATAAATATCAATATTTGGACGTACTGTACACATATCTCTGATATGTGTACGTCCAAATAGTTCTGCTGTGCATCAAAGGAAACTTACCAAAGACAGCGTCGGCTTACAGGGAGCTCAGGCGATTGGTCTCTCCTGCTGGTTTGGAATGGTCCAAGCCCTTGCCATCCTTAGCAATCCTTAACTTCTGTTCAAAGTGCGAGTGTCTCCGGCAGAAGCCATATTCCGAATATAGCCTTAGCTGACAGTAGAAATGGGAGAATTTCGTGGATCAAAAGTTTTGCAAGGTAGTTGATTCTTTGGTCTTTCTGATAGTCGGTGTTTGGAATATCTCTTTTCGTTTTCTTCGTTTCTATCTCCTCACATCCGGGGCAGAGGATGAATGATCTCCAGGCTACGGTGGGAAAAAAGTTGATTCTACAGTTTTGTGCTTTTCCCTTTTCCTTGTCTACTTCTGTTCTTCATTTCGTCGTCATTGGTGCAACTTGTACCTTCTAAAATATTATGCATCTGTTATCGTCCAAACATGACGGCGGCTTTACTAATCATGTGTGCATGTCTGTGAGCACGATGTGATTTCCTTACTTGCAGTTAGTAGTTTATGAATCTAAAATACTGTACTCTTACTGAGAACTCGAACTTGCATCAAGAATGTCGGACCACTTGAAGGGAATTCGACGTTCGGACATTTGAACCACCTCTAATTGAGAAGTGCCTTCAAAGTTTGTAAAACCTCGACTCCATCATATTCATCATTCAGAACAGAGCAAATTTTTTTATACGAAGACAAGGACATTCACCGACCATCCTCTGCAATCGTGGCGCGGTGAATCCGTCTTCGATCTTCAGATGCTTGGAGTCTGGCTGCGTTATATTCCTCTCAATTGTCTGCCTGTACGTCTGGCGAGGTCTTTGGAGCAACTGAACAAATGCCGCTACGATGTTGCCACAACAACAAGGATTTAAGGAATTGAACAGATCGTCTTCCTCGGTTCACGCCACTGTTGGAGGAGCATCGTAAACTACGTACGAGAAGGCAATGCCATGGCGGAGGTACAACAATTGTGCGATCAAGACTCGACGTGAACTAGCTACAAGACGCTCACGGGCTCAAACTGAGCGCCACGGTAAGTGATCGAGTCGCACGGCTCTCCATTCGTAAAGGCTGTGCCAAAATTGGAGAAAACTCCTTTCAGGCTGTTCTCTGTACAGCTCTCAGGTGCTCTGAATTATGTTCCTTCCTCTTGACCGGCATGGACAGAGGTCTCCAGCGCATTAGAGGCATGCCTTAGTGCAGCTGGACATGCATTCTAGATTTCATGTATAAGTGTGTTCCGACACCCAAAATGCTGTCGATGAACACTGGATTGACTTGCGTGGTGCATACATCATTCGTATTGTTTTGGCGAGAGTTCTTTTGTCCTCCATTACCCCAACTGAAGCATTGCACCTGTCACCTTGCCGTTTATAGCCCTCGGGAACAACCTCAAGAGGCTGGATGACGTATTGCTCTGTCGTCTCGATGAGACCTGCAACAAGCGGCCGGCCGTCACGTGACAAACGCGTCCAGTTCGTGATGAAGATTGCCGTGAAATCAATCGTGCAGGACGATATCAATCCCATGTCGTGATCGAACAGTAGAGATCAGTCTCTGAACAAATTCTTTCATGCAGATCAGAAACTCGGCTCGCCGAAGCAGACATTAAACTCGTCGGAAGTGTTGTCTACAACTCTCGCTTTCTGAATCAAGGAGTCCAGTGAGCAGGAATCGAGATGAGAAAAGTAGATGGAAGAATTCCGAACGTTTAAAAGCTTGTCTCTTCGTCCGATTGAGCTTGAACTCTGTTGCTGTTGGATGCATTCACGGTTCAATTTCGCAATTTGTTGACAGTTTGCGGCTTGTCTCGAGTGCTGGTAGTCTAGTGGCTGTTACACTCCAATGATTCAGCGTTCTCAATCACTGGAGAACTTGAAGCAGGTGAGATATCTCCTGCGCGCTTCGCTCACTTTGTTTTACCTTACGGTAAAAGATCGAGAGAATGGAATGTGCAGTTCTACGATTCATCGAATCTCCTCATCGTCCTGAAGTAATTGCAAAGCGACTGCTCCTTGGGGACATGTTACGCTTTCTGTACTGGTCTCGAATATAAATGAAATAGAAATCAGTAGCACTGTTTCTCTGCCTTTCCCAGCCAACATTTGGACGACGAATGCACAAGGAAAGCGTGATGATATGCATAAGATTTTGACCTTCCGCTGCGTTTCCATCGACCTGAAGGACGATGAGAAGCCGTTCGAATGTGCGATGTGAGGGACCTCTTAATCTCAAGTCGGATTAAATGTTTTCCCACAATGAAAGAGCGTAGTCTGACATGTGGAACACGTACTCTGCATCTCGATATTTCCTGATGAAATGTGATCCGGATGACGATTCAGTCAAATTGCGTGCATCCTAAGGGATAATTGCACTTGCTGCTCCAGAAATATGTTTACAGGCACAATCTTAAACACCGATATGGACATGTATTAAATTTGGTTCAGAATTTCTCTCATCCTTTGGAATGCTCAGGGTGCATGTTCCATGAATTGGAGGTTGGAGATACTATACCACTGGTGTGTATATATTGAGAAAAAGTTGCTTGTCCTCTCTTAGAAGATGACTGGGATTCTACCAATCTGGTTCGAGAAATATTCACTCATCAAAAGAGGTATTTCTTCTTATGATGTATTGTGAAGAGCGCTTCTCCTCGATTCTTCGCCCTGTTTTTGTTTGCAATTTGTCCTGTCGTCGGACCGTGTCCGAGGCCGTTCGAATTCAAATTCATGCTTCATTCAATACCTAGATCATGGTGTCTATCAACGCATATTCTCACGATGGTAGAGAATTTTGTAGAAACTAGTCTAATCTTTTGAGATCCGTGCTTCCAGTCGAGCACTACAAAGTGATGCAAAGAACTTTCTCCAGGCAGAAACTACACATCAATGGCCATTTTTAACAAGTCCAGAGCGGAACTAGTTCTAGAAGACAAATGCAATCTGCTGCGTCACGTGGTGCTGCACGCACTGCCATTGCAAAAGCATGACATTCCGGGCCTTGATAATTGATTGAAAAAAATTGGCAGAGTGCTATTGGCGCTCTAATCTGAGCTCTTCGTTTACAAGAATCTCGCGAGTATCGTAAAAACTACGATGAAATTCGAAGTTTTCGTATATGACGGGATTCATGGTCGAACTTTTCCCGCTCTACTTAACAAATGGTTATGAGGTTTCTCTACTCTTCACAACTTCCACAATCCCGCTGATTGGTAAGGACAAAAATTGAATGAAGGTTTCCGTCCATGAACTTCTCGTCTCTACTGCTATGTACACTTGGGCTTGATTCATGAACGAGTACCTATTTCATACAACGACATCTAATTCTAGAGTGTTTTCTCACAGCGTGTGGCATTTGACTCTGGCAAATCCGATACTGGATTGGTCTTCATCATAGACAATGTGAAAGTCTTGTTGATGGATGTTGCCGATTACATTGGCCTCGATCTTGGACTGGGAAAGAGCCACGCACATGAGCACTCCACGACCATCGTCGTCTCTGACAATCAGAACCGTGTTCTCTTGAGGCAGACTCCACGTTGCACCGGTGAGATGAAAAATGAGATCGGGCATCTTCGGGTGCTCGACATCAGTGACATCGAAGCACAAATCCAATCCGTGCTGGCTCATGTCCACCTGCGGATAGTCGGGAGAATGATTATGAAACGCCTGAATCACAGAATTGTAGACTCCAGGAACCAGAGTTGTCAAGGTGCTCCCTGAGTCCAAGATCGTCCTAACATAGTCCGATGAAAGTGATTCAACAGAGGATGCCACATCTGTAACTTCGAACAAACTCAAGTGTCCAGCTTTATTAACACTCGTGTAAGTATCGGCTACACTGATGCCCTCCAGATGCAAGTAGTAGAAGGAAGAGCTCGAGGGCAGCATCGGTGTGTACTGCACATCAGGCCCAGAAGGGCCCGCCATATCCCCGAAAAACAGTGGGCTCGTCCTCTTGCCTGCTACGAATCTATTTACAAAGCAAGTGGAGAATTTGGATCCAATGTAAGGCTTGAGCTGGGATGGGAGGGAGAGCTTTCCCCTCCCTAGACCGATGATCCCGACGGCACCAGTTTGATTCAGAGAACCACTGTTATCGTGGCCACATCCGAAAGCAAATTCAGGGAGTCGGAGAATCGGACCTCCGCCGCCGCCAGAGAGAGTGAGCGTTTCCAGTGCCAGATCTCCTCGGCTGTGAGTGTGATCGAGATAGTCGTAATGGTATTTGCAGTCTGGAATGCAGCCGGCGAAATTCTTCCCTTCGTACAGCTGACTGCAGAAGGTGGAATTGCATTGAACCGATCTGTAAGAAACGGATGTAGCTGGATGGAAGATTGGTTCGGGCTGTAGGAAACAGCTCTTGCAGGGTTTGCATTGTAACCATGGCAGATCACTGCCCGTGTCAGCAAAGGCAGTGAATGTCCGAGCCGGAGTACCTATGGAGATTTGCATCGAGTAACCTCCACCAGTAATCGAAATTTGAGATTCATATCTTGCGGACTGAAGATGGCGACCACTACCTGTCTCATCCTTCCTCCAAATATGCTTGCTATCCTGTAAAACTCTTCTTCCCGGCCGAATTCTAGCTGCTTCTCCAGGCGACTTCTTATTGCTCAGCGATTTCCTGATAAATTCTCCACGTGCAGCTGAATCATCGATATCTCTTCGAATTCTGTCGAGAGTTGTGAATTCTACTTTTTCGACGGATCCTGAACCTGATTGAAAGGCGTCTGGATGATTCAAATCAACCTTGACTCCAAAACTCTCTGTAATTTTTCCGTCGGTTCCTGTGTCCGAAGGCTGCCTCCAAATTCTGTTTCGCTCCAAATCCGTTTCCAAAAACGTACCTGACCTCGTTTCAAGAGCTCGCACTGCTGCTACCAAGATTAGCCATACCAAATTTTGCAGATTGCGATACGCATAACTCATGTTAATGCTAACGATTCAGAGTCACTCGCAGGAGTTTGAAACGCCAGCAATTGACCGATTTGTCAGAACTATCCGCGTATCTTGTTGCACTTATCACGCAAACGAGAGCAGGGCAGGGCTGGAACTGAGAACGACCCTGACAAACATTTCCCCGAGAGACTCTGCTTAAATTCCTCTATGCCATAAAGCGGGCAGCTTCACTTCCAAATTCTCCACGTACTCGGTATTCAAGACCAATGGAGTGAGAGTCCAATCTGCCGCCGCTGCTGCTCATGAGGAGCTCCATGGCGTATCGAAAACTGCTCGACGGGAATCAATTTGTGAGACTTCGGACATTCTTGAACGATTCTGGCGCCGTCTTCGTCCTCAGCTCGATGACTACTGGAGATCCGGACATGGGCTAGAGTCCAAAGGCGCAGGAGACCGTGTCCGATCGAATCGTCTGGTCTCCGAAAGAACGGTGGATGGTCCACGTGGGTACGCCAAGCTTTCCAATGTGCAACACTTTCTTACCTTCCATGTTCATGTTTGACTAGAGCAAGTTTGCACCTGTGGCCCACTCAACATGAATTTTGTCCTCAGCTTGCTCCACACCCAAGCTACTAATCCGTAGAACATCACACAACCAACTGAACAGAGCCTTGACAAGCCATCGCTTGTTTCAAGAGGACCGACTGTGACATTATCATCTTGTCATGGAACTCAATTTCAGCACACACACACACACACACACACACATGACTTAGCGACGTCAACGATGGGCTGGGCATGAAGCTTGGCAACGTGTTGAGCCTCCCAAAGGTGGATAAAGATTCGATCTACCGAGATCCGTTCGATGGCACTAGAGTTCACCTTCTCACATGCTTTCAAAATGTACCCAACTCTCGAAACTCGAAAAAGGATTGGACATCAACGTCCTGTTCGTGCTGGTTTCGAATTTGTGCAATCACTCCGTTGTGGCATCTTCCGTATTCTTTATACATTCTTCATCCATTGTTTAACCCTCTTTCGTGAGTTGAGTCCATGATCGAAGAGATTATTCATTCACCTCAACGCAGACACCGCTTATTAAAAGAGCTAACTAGTCGTGAGGTCCACGGATTCCCTTCGCTTTTATATTTCGTCAAGCGGAATGTTTGACAATTTAGATGGTACGTGAATAGAAGCTCATGGAACTCCTCACGAGTGATCTCTCCTAGAGGTTCAAGTAAGCAAGTGATGCACGCAGACGGCCTTCTTCTTCTGGACCCATGAACATCTCCGACGAGTCAGACGGTGAGAGAGGAAAACTGAGTCGGCTTGACTCATGTCGGCGCCATCTACGCAGTTCTACCGAGTAGGTACGTGCTCTTCTGACTGGCCTCGAGCACCATAGGTCTGCTAGCAACGAGCTCAGTCGGATATATAATATGGCCAGAGCACCGGATGACTCGGCGCTGGTCAGGAGGGGGCAGCACGTGCATTCACGTCCAGAAAGAGCCTGATTTGTGGAATTCCCAGTGCCCGGCTACAAGTTCCACTTACATCGACGCAGCTACTCTTCCCTTATTATGGTAATTTTCTACTGGGAACATGCTCTTCTCTGCAACCGTGATTCTAACAGCGAGAATATCGTGAACCTCGAATGACAAATTTATGACCTCAGTCCATTGCTGCTGGAATTGCGGGGATTTTCACCACGATCGAGACGAACTAAGTTGCTAAATTACAAACTTGGATTTCCAGAGTTTGAATTTGTGGGCTATATTCTGTACCTACCTCCCGTCCGTGTGGGAGGGAGGGAGCATCTCGTCGACTGCATCGAATGATGAACCCGATCCGGACGCTGAGGAAGAGAGTGGCCAGCATGCATCGGCCGCTCAATCTCGAATCGTTTAGATAAGAAGCTTTGCTATCTGAGGCACAAATCTCAATTTCATTTATGCCGTGACCATGCTCGAATCTTCGACAAAAAAACTAAGCCCCTGCTTACGCTTGTCCTACGGAAAGTTAACAATAATTAAGAAACAAAATTATCTATATCTAATATGCTTTTTGACAACCAAGGCCTTATGTAGGAGGATAATGTATCTCACATCATCCCCTACATCATCATCTTTATCGCCCCTTTCAAGAGCACTTCATTTTTCTCTCCATGGAGCCAAGTAACGAACCAAAAAGATGGTAAGATACATCAACCTGAAGAGAGGAGAAATCATCGATGATATAGGCACCACTGTAATTTCAGTGATACATATGTACCACTACATCTGACGCATATGAAAAATCTAGATCACACATTCTTAAAAAATAGTAGCATCTAAAGAAATATCAACTAGCGTGATTGTTCTCTTCATAACAGCACAATTTATACTTGTTTGTATATCAACGATATATCATTTTGTCTAAATTTGTCAACGATGTATGACGAAGAGTGTTGTTCACTAGTTGAGTAATGTAGGTGAAGACCTACAATCAAAAGTGACATGCATTTCCACGAAGTCAATATTAAAGTACGTGTTTTTTCAAGCCATATTACATACATATAATAGTTATATCTATTTATTAAAAATACATATTGTGTCATAAGCTTATTTTAACCCTCTAAAAATAAAGTTAGCTAATTTGTTATACTAATCATGGCAGCATTAATTAGAGTTAACCAAGACATGATTTATAACAAAATGTGTAAATTAATGTGCATGTTTTCACATGTACATGATAAACTTGTAATACAAGTGTCCAGATAAACTTGAAGGTTAAAGTAAAAAATTATCGGCATTTCAGCTCGGTAAAAAATACTGGACTTATATCCTTTATTTGCTTCTCATCCTATGTTGTGTAGTAATGCGATTATTAACTGAAATAATCCAAGTACAGAAAAAAATATAGAGCGAAAGTGCCAAAATATTAAGGAACTAAATAATAAAATTTCAAAGCTGAAGCTCAAAAACAAAAAGGTGCTGAAGTCAAAATTACGAAAGGTCAACAAAAAAAGAATCAAAATACCAAAATCAAAAAATGAAAAGTATCAAGTTGATGTGCCAAACATAACAAGGATCTAAACCTAATTATTGATGTGGTGAATGAAGCAAAGAATGAAGCTAAGCATGATTGAAATAATCGAAAATTTGAATGAATCCATGTACATTTGTGACGGTTTAAAACGTGGGAATCCAATAAATTTTCAATCACTTTGTAATTTATTTAGAATATATCTTAAGGTTTTTTTTTTAAATTAAAAAGATCACCGAAATTTTTTTAATGCAAGCTTCTTATAAAGTTGAATTTTCTGAAGTGTTTAAATTCATTTTAAATGCAAGGTATTGATAAAACATTGGTGTATAAAATCAAAGTTGCAAAAATATAACCTATCAAATTTTTATTCTAGTAGCTACAAATTATGAAAAAAATAATTTCTTCAATTTAAATTATATCTAGATAAAATCTTGATCAATGTAATTTGTGGAGATTTTTCATTTATTTGAATATTTTTCTATGATTAATGGTGGATTTTATAAAGAAAGATCGCATATTGATCAGTGATATATCAATAATTCAATAATCATCGCATATTCACAAGATTATTCAAAATTATTTACTGATCAATATGCGATCAAATTTTTATTCTAGAAGCTACAAATTATGAAAAAGAATAATTTCTTCAATTTGAACTATATTTAGATAAAATATTGATCAATGTAATATATGGAAATTTTTCATTCATTTGAATATATTTTTTATGATTAATGGTGGATTTTATAAAGAAGGATCGCATATTGATCAGTAAATAATTTTGAAGATTGCATATTCAAAAAATTCAAAAAAGATTTGAAAAATTGATTTGTGAACATTTGGAATTTTTTTTTTCAAATTATTACAAAAATTACAATATTATGTTAAATTTGAATATGATCAATCAGTATTATCATCCTAGATATACTTTGCATGGCAAAATAAAAACTTCAGATAGCTAATATTGATTTATTAAAAATTCAAAAGAGTGATTCACAGCCAGGTGCTCAGGACCTTTTCTAACAAAGTACATGTGATACATACATGTGACCAAAAAAACACTTTGAAAGTTTTCCAAATGTAGTTAAAATAATCATAATTTCTAAAAAAAATGTTGATCATTATAAATCAAATGTAGATATATCATAACTTTAATTCATTGTAATTCATTGCTTTGAGAATGTCAAAATGTTTGATTGTAAAATTAGTGTATTGACTTTAGTGTAAATTTTTATTTTTTTTTAATGTAATCAATTTATTTTCAACTTCATCAAAATCATTTTAGCATAATAGTATAAGCTAGAATTAAAGATTAGAATTTATTTTCATTCCAATCTTGTGTTAGAATATATAATCTCATGAATCTAATCTGTTTTAGATTCATTGTCTAATCAAACTATATATCATAACTCAAAATTAAAACTATTCTACATTGAATCACAACTCATTTCACATCTTCGAACAATTTCTGTCGTCATCAAAGTTTGGATCTTCATAATTTGTGCTTATTAAAAAGGAAAAAAAACCGAAGAATCATATGAATATTCTGGGTTTATCTCTTTCAACGTGAAAGCTTCAGTACCATATTCCAAGCTTCTTTCATCCCCTCCTCGGTAATGAGAGCCTGTATGGCAATCTATGCTACATCAGCTCCGGCGACTGTTTTCATGTCAGAGCTAAATAACGCACATCTTTCCCAGCAAGATCCTCTTCACACCACCATGTTTGTCTTGCAATGCCCGAGCTCCCTCCTCCTCCTCCTGATTAAGGACCTTCAAACGAACATATTTGTTGGTTCCACTCAAAGATCCCACCAGGACAATACGTTTTACTCCTGCTTCACTCCTGCTTGGCAACATCAATTAAGGCATTGTGCCCGGGCCAATCAGCCTGGTCTGGAAACCTCCTTCCTCATATGGAAAATTCAGAACGACCTCCCTTGCTAGGATCAAATCCAGGCTTCACTTTCAGTACCATGCTCGTCAAGAGGATCGGGGCCGCTGACCGCTTCCTTGAGTGTCCAAAGTACTTAATTTGATCCATTCATTTATAAATTCTCCTTCAATTAAAATTGATATGTATTTCTATGATTTATATTATTACAAAATATAAAAAAATCTTGTATATAAAAAATCTTAAAATCTTACATAAATAAATACATAATTGCGATATATTTAGAAGGCTTGAGAATATCATCGTCAATCAAACTATTACCTCCACCAACTTTTGACTTGTCATCCTCACAAGTCGGATCCGACTTCACGTCAAGTTTAATAAATGCAATTAGATCAGTTTGTCCACCAGCTCCACGAACGAACACGGTCTCCAACTCCGCAGCGATGGCCAGGACAGTTTTCGAGCCGCATTGCGCTCCGAAGTCTTTGCGTGCTTAGCTAAACAAGCGCAAAATGCACCTCCTCCGCTGCCATTGTCTTTGCCGATCCTAAATCCATCGTCTCGATCCACGAGCCCATATTATTTCAGTTTCAATATTGCTCTAATTTGAGCTCTATATGGAGTCTGTTGTCTGTGTAGAAGACCATTATTGACATCTTCGCCTACAGTGGAGTCAAAAGCTGCGAGTCAGAAAAGACTTCATTAGTTACATTATGAAGTATAGGAAGAGCATTTGTAAAATATACTTGGAGTCCGTTTTGAAGAGCAAGTAGCGGGTATCGCTACAAAGCTTTTGTAGCATACTTGTAGCTACAAA